TCTTGGTGATTGTCTGTATCGATTTGATCCAACCATTGACTGTCGACTGCAGTCCGTTAAGGAAGCTACTGTCTTGTACGATTGCGGCAGGGATGAGTTCCGGAGAGGGTTTCACGCCACGCTGACTAGCATCATCCAGCGCACTCTGGATAAGCGGGTGGAGAGGCAGTAGCAGCTCCGGAATCTCCACATTCTGCTCGAGGTTGCCCAAACTGACAGCCAGCTCCGCAATCTTCTTCCTTGTCGCCGAAATTCCCGTCCTAGCATCGTTGTCGCCCTTGCTGTATTTCCCCGCCAGATCGCGTTGGCTCTTGGTGTAGGTGTCAAAGTACGGCTCGACCGCAGACTGAATGAGAGAACGAAGAAACTCATAGGGAGTGCCATCGGGCGAAGAAGCGTTATTAGAAAGTATAAAGCCGGGCAACGTCTGAATAAGGACCTGCTGGCTAAGGGGTATCGCGGGGTCTATGGGTATCGGTCGCTTCGAAATAACAACAAATGCTGCACAAGTAGGAGAAGCCGTAATCTCGGTCGAAATGGTATAGGTAAAATGCTGGGTCGCCCCTGCTGCTTGTGTCAGTTTGGACGTTCCTTCCTCTTCGCAGGGTACTTGCCGTTTGCGCCATCCATGCCATCGATACGGGGTTCATCTGCCCGGTCTTTCACAATGTACAGCGCTGACTGCCCCTCGGAGGCGAAGCGGGCGCATCGCTGCAGCGTGTCCTGTAGCTTGGCGCTGGACAGCAGACTACCGGGTGCAAATAGATCCTCTTTCGAGGCTCCCAAGCTGACGTCAAGGACCTTTTCCAGGTGGTCGACGATGATCTGGGGGTCTATCGAGGGCGGTGAGGGACTGGGTGTGCGTATGCTGCCGTTGGGCGCCCCTGGGTTCAAGGGTCCCTCCATATTGATTGTTTATCGCGTTTGTGTTGCTATGAAGACATGTGGTTTGCGCTTCTAGCGGAGTAGTGAGGGACGGGAGTCGGAGAGATTGCTAGTTGTGAACAAGCACTTGGTAAGGCGGCGGTGATGGTGATGGTGCCTCTGTCTGAGTATATTTCCCCAGTAGGTGCACGCGAAGTAGACGCGCACGGCCGTCACACGCTTATCCTGACTAGCGGCAGCGGCAGGGGAAGCGGAGAGATCGTCGTCTGATTGGCTCTTGAATTTGGTACGTATGCAGTACTACTGGAAGGCGTGGGAATTGGTGTAGCCGTTAAACCGCGTTGTATGCAGGAGCTGTTGCTGTGGTTACTTTTTGCACGTCCAGCAGTTGCTCGCTCCCACACAGAAAGCGGCGAATACCGACAGGCAATGACAGCTCACCACGTGCAAAGTAAGCTAACGTCGGCTCCACTTTCTAAGCTAACTTCTGAACCCACCCGCTCCTTTCATCTCAGGTTTGCAAGGCTGGCACGGAGGTTTGAGCATAGCAGTTCTCATGAACAGGCGTATGCGCCAGACTCTGATTCGGGGACACATGCACTATCTATCTCTCCCTCTATCTTCCAACTCCACATCCCTACCTTGTCCAATATTATCGTCATCGTCATCCCCATCTCCGACAGCAAATGTCCCATCAACTCTGTCATCGTGACCACTCTTTCTCCTAATACCTCTCGCGTCCCTAGCAGTCGCAGCCGTAGGACTTGCCAACCTAACCTCACCCACTTCCTTCAAGCCGATTCTCCTTCTGCCCCAGTTTACCACTGTCCTCCCCCAACTCGCTAATCTCTCCATACCCTCATCGCCATTCCCTGTTCCACCACCGTGTCCACCTCCAGCCTCAACTTTGAACTGGTACTTCAGACAGTCCTTGATGGTAATGAGACCAGTTAGACGGCCGCGATATTCGATCAAAACGACCCGTGGACCCATTTTCTTGAACAGCTCCATAACGGTTTCGAGGGGTAGGCGGGGATGCACTGAGAGTGGTGTTGGATCGATATAGCGGGTGAAGTCTAATGAGGTTTGAGAAGAGGTTGTGGGTATGGAGTCAAACGTTGTGTTGGGTGCTGATGCTGATGTGCCGCTTGCAGCTCGGGAACTGGTGTTGCTAGCAGGAGAAGAAGATGTGAAATAACATTTTGCGTGACCCGGAGCCTGCTGTTCGATTTTGGCGCGATCAATAGCATAGCGTAGTTCTGTTCTGCCGATGTAGCCGACGAGTGTCTTCGTCTTCATGTCCTCCACAATAGGGTAGCCTTGGTAGGCGTTTTCATTCATTAGACGTTCCATCTGACGAAGTTCCATACCTGTGGCTGGTAGACAGACCACGCGGCTGGACATGACTTGGCTAACAGGAACACCAAAGGTGTGTTCTTCTTTGCTGTCGAGGAACGGATAGCCGTTCAGGTAGATCATGCGGTCTGCGATTCCACCATGACCAAAACGTTCGCTAACTGCTTTTGTAACACCCACGACTATCATTGTGGGGAGAATGTATGTCAATGCGCCGGTGATCTCGAACATGATGACCACGACGCTAACCGTGATGTGCATGATGCCACTGAGAGCCGCCGCTGCGCCGAGGAAGGCGTAGGTGCCTGGTGTGATACAAGCTCCATCTGGATCGCAGGCCGAGAAGAAAGCTGAGCCAGGGAAAGATTCGTGCAGAGCTTGAACGCAGATACCGATCATACGACCAAAAGCGGCGCCGATGGCCATACTAGGCACGAAGATGCCAGCAGGCACTTTACACCCGAACGATATAACGACCAACAGGGTGCGTAGGACCGTTGCAATGGCAAGGGTTCCAACATTGTGCCAGCGATGGTTCGCATCACAAAGACGGTCATAGCCCTTGTCGCCCTCACACTCCTGAAACAGAATCTCCATACTCTCTGTCATATCGATCCTCAAGAACATGTTCGGATAGCAGATAACACCAGTGATAACAGCTAGCGTAACAGCCTCTGTAATGGGGTATGCCGAAAGATACTTCTTGCGAAAGACTTGCATCTTGAGATTCCATTTGATGACGAAAGCACCATAGAGGCCGCCAAAGACACCGATGATGATGTAGAAGAGGATTTCGAAAAAGTGCCAGGAGCGGTCATACGAGACGTTGAACATGACGAGCTGGCCGGTTCGGAAAGGATTCATAGCCTAGAGATACGTCAGCCTCAACATAGATGTGATGTTCACATCCATCAGACTTACAGACAGAACCGCCGTAGCAACTAGCGCACAGAAATAACTCCTCCAAAGTGTCTTGAGTGGAAACTGATTGCTCATCTCCTCAAGTGAGAACAGCACACCTCCAATTGGACTTCCAAATGCTACACCTACACCTGCTGCCGCACTCGCACATAAGATCTCTCTCGTCTTGGCCGCGTTCCTTCTGTACTTGTCGAAGAACCTACTGATCACATTACCCGTACATACGGCATAATGCACACTAGGCCCTTCCTTGCCGACCGACAGCCCCGACGCAATAGCAAGCGGCAGGCCAATCGACTTGATGAAAAGCGTGGTGAAGCCTAGGAAGCCCTTCATAACGAAGCCCGCGATTATGCACTTCATCTCTGAGATACCCGAACCAGCTGCATACGGTGCGAAGCTCTTGACCAGCCTTGCCGCGGTAAAGGAGAACAGAGCTGCGAACATGATGTAGAGAACGTAATTCGCTGGCCAAAATCCACTCCAGCGTTTCCACTCAGGGCAACCACCTTCGGCACCCCAGCAACAGAAACTCTCGTTGAGGTAAAAGGCTGTAGTGCAATGTCCCAGTTTGATATCACTCAGCCATTCAGTGATAATATTGAGGAAGGCAGCGTTGAGACCTATCGCAGCGCCAACAAGCGTAACGACAATCCACGCTTGGCCTGCATCGTATGCTTCGGCGATCTTCCGCCTCCATTTCCCTTGTCCTCGGCCTAGGAACACTTTCGCGGTCCTGCCATCTTTCCGCACACCGATGCTATCTCTTTCACGCCGGCGCGCTTTCCGTCGCAGTTGTTCGCGGGCAGCGTCTTGAACCCAGTCTATCGTTGTGAAGTCTTCATACCGCTTGATCTCTGCTATCTCTTCGACAATGGCCGCATCAGTATGTGTAGTTTCTGCAGCCTCAGGGTCATCATGGTCAGGGTCGAGGGACAGGAAGGATTGGCCTGTTGTGCGCCGCCGGAGAGAAGGTGCAAAAGACGTGGAGCGTGAGGGCTGATTGGGGCGCGAGGACGGACGGCGCGTGGACTGGGGACGGAGGGGTGTAGGCTGTTGGGAGGATTGGCGGGCGCGTGAGCCAGAGGATGAGGAACGATTCATCGCATCGTCATTGAAGGGGGTTTTCTTCGCGTGGGAAGAGCGTGGATCAAGTGGCCTGGTTGTTTCGAAGTTTGGAGTTTGGCGTGGCTGCGTATCATCTGGGAGCTATCTCATGCAAGGGTCCCTCCCGTCCCAGCTCCAGATCGACGTCTCGGGAGTCCGATCATGCACAGCCACACTTGCGAAGACATGAACCAAGAAAGATCGTTTTCTCCATATTGTGACTACAAGGTATCTTGAACGTCTTTGCTAGGTTCTAGATTCGTGAATAGGTTGACACAGTGTAGCGCATGCCTCAGGGCTCAATTTACCTAGATCCAATTCCATCATGGTCGGATCAATTTTTGGAGACAGGAAACATCAGCTATTCTACAAGAAAATTCCCAAGTCGATACCACGACACGAAGGGAAGCTCATACGTTTCAAGTCGTATTTATACACTACTTTCAAGGGATACAACATATTTTGTATACCGAAATCTCACAGTGGATTACAACAGATACCTTTAGGGTGCTTTTTGGTGCCAGTCACATTTCACACTGCATACGCTTCTCCACAGCAAGCTTCTTCACACAGCACTTCGGCAGCACTTCGGTATTGAATTGAAAAGTTGTATTTCACTTCATCGTGACTTATACAGGGGTATCATATGTCTAAAAACCTTCATATCTGAATCTGGCTTGCCGGCTACATCTACTTCGTGCACTTACGCACAACTCCATCACGCGGCATGTCTACTCCATCTCAATAGTACCGGGAGGCTTGCTCGTGACTAGAACATGTCAGTATTTGTCTCAGTGAGGTCGCATCCGTCAGACTTACTGTCGTATACCACACGGCAAACTCCGTTCACCTCGTTCACGATCCTCCTGCTAACCCTCTTGAGGAACTCGCCATCGAAGGGGTACCAGTCCGCTGTCATGAAATCACTTGTCTCAACAGCTCTCAACGCGATGACCTGGTCGTGAACTCGCTTGTCACCCATGACACCAACCGCCTTGACAGGCAGAAGCGCAGCGAACGCCTGACTAATCTTCTTGTACAGACCCGCGGCCTTGATCTCCTCGATGAAGATGTTATCAGCTTCCCGCGCAATGCGGACTTGCTCGCGTGTGACCTCACCCAGGATGCGGATTGCGATACCTGGACCGGGGAACGGGTGGCGCCAGACGAGGTCTTCGGGGATACCGAGCTCCTTGCCCAGCTCACGGACCTCATCCTTGAAAAGCTCACGTAGAGGCTCGATGACCTTGAGCTTCATGTCCTTTGGTAGACCACCGACATTGTGGTGTGTCTTGATGGTTTGAGAAGGGCCCTTGAAGGAGAGCGACTCGATGACGTCAGGGTAGAGGGTACCTTGAAGGAGCCATTCGATATCACCAGCGTTGGCAGATTCGTGAGCTTCTGCTTTGATCTTTTCGGCTTGCTTCTGGAAGACCTCGATAAAAGTGTTGCCGATGATCTTGCGCTTCTTCTCGGGGTCGTCAGTTACGCCCTTGAGGCGGTCGAGGAAGAGGTCGGACGCGTCGATGACGGTCAGGTTGATGCCCAGGCCCTCGTCGAGCGTCTTCTTCACTTGAACGGCTTCGTTGAGTCGCAGGACGCCGTTATCGACCATGACGGCGTGGAAGCGGTCGCCAATGGCCTCCTTCATCAGCTTTGCAGCAACAGTCGAGTCGACGCCACCACTGACGGCACCGATGACCTGTCCCTTGTCGCCCACCAACTTCCTGATACGCGTGATCTCCTGATTGACGAACTTGCTCATAGTCCAGTTGGTGTTGGCCTCGCAGATGTCGATGGCGAAGTTCTTCAACAGAACCTTACCCTTCTTTGTGTGTGTAACCTCAGGGTGGAACTGAATGCCGTAGTACTTCTTGGTGCTGTGCGCAATACCTGCAAATGGCGCGTTGGTAGTTGTCGCAACCGTCATGAAGTCCTGAGGCATGTGGCTCAGCTTGTCACCATGGCTCATCCAGACCTCGAGATCGTTGCCCAAGTCCTTGAACAGCTGGTCCATGTGTCCACCGTGACTCTCAACCTTCAGGTTCGCGTGTCCGTATTCCCTCTTCTCGCCAGCAGCTACGCCAGCGTTCTTTCCAAAGTGCCACGCCATCTCTTGTAATCCGTAGCATATTCCCAGGATCGGTACGCCGAGATCGAAAACAGCGTGGTCGACGTGTGGTGCGCCTTCCTCGTAGACGGAGTACGGGCCACCGGAGAGAATAACTCCCTTGGGGGTGAAGGGCAGATCAGCGATCTTGGTAGTGCATGGCAGCATCTCAGAGTATACATTGAGTTCGCGGAGGCGGCGCGTAATCAGATGCGTGTACTGGGAGCCGAAGTCGAGTACCAGGATGGTATCGAACGTCTTGTGGGGAGGAATTGGGTCCGAGTTGTCGGTCGCCATTTTGAAATAGAGAATCGATGTAGTAGAAGTAGAACAGGGAGAGAGAAGTGAAAGAGAAAGGAAAGAAAGAGGGAGACGGGTATCTGGGGAAGGAAGAAGGTCTAATAGTGGGATGCTTTGTGACTGATTCTCACAAAATTTTAGCGGGGCAGGGTCTTGCCTAGTATCTCCATCGATCCTCTGGTACGAAGAAAGGCCGGACGTCTAAGCCGGATTGCTGCCTGGATACAGAGGAACTACACAGAATAGTAGCCCAGAGAATTGCACGGTTGATATCATGCAAGTGTAATGCTACGAACGATTGTGAATCCTTTTGGGGTATCTTGTCTCTATGAGGTACCCCTCGAAAGACGAGCCCCCTTGTACAAGCACTTGATCCATGTAGCTGGAATATGTTTAATTGACTAACCATCGCTTCTGATTCGAAGACAAAATATGCGACATAGTTGCAGAGTCTCTGTGATTGAGCATGTTACCCCCAGGGCGGGGCTGAAGAATTATTCCACAGCCTATCGATAACAAACGTAGTTGCATCGCGCGCAAAGTCGCGTACCCACTGACCTCACCAACCCTGCTCATACTTTCCACACATCTACACAATGGCGAAACGAAAGTCTGAGAGAGATCCCGAAGAGCTTCCCGATGCATCGGACAAGCGCAAACAGAACGATGACGACGAGTCGGGCAGCGACGAGGTATGCGCCTTCCCTGCTAAGGTCTTCTCACGATGCGCCTGCTCACAAATTCGTAGGACATGGATATGGTGAACGTCGACTTTGAATGGTTCGACCCGCAGCCAGCGGTTGATTTCCACGGCCTCAAGAACCTTTTGCGCCAACTCCTCGATGTTGATTCGCAGTTGTTCAACCTCTCTGAACTCGCGGATATTATATTATCGCAACCGCTACTCGGCAGCACAGTCAAGGTCGATGGCAATGAGACGGATCCGTACGCCTTCCTTACCGTCCTGAACCTAGAGACACACAAGGTATGACCTCTCCATACGAGATGTGCCCATTCATATGCTAACGGCAAACAGGACAAAAAGGTAATCCAAGATTTGACAACCTACCTCTCGAAGAAGTCTGCGCCGATCCCAACACTCCCACCTCTCCTCACAACCACGTCCTCCGCGCAAATCGGCCTCATCTTGACCGAGCGCTTCATAAACATGCCCCATGAAATCGTACCACCAATGTACACGATGCTTCTGGAAGAAATTCAGTGGGCGGTTGAGGAAAAGGAACCTTACACATTCACACACTACCTCGTCTTGTCCAAATGTTATTCCGAGATACAGAGTCAGCTGCCGAGCGAAGACGCACCACCAAGCAAGAAGAAGAACAAGAAGGCCGATGTGGGTGAGGAGACATTCTATTTCCATCCCGAGGACGAAGTACTGCACAAACATGCCGTGGGATACACGAGCTTTGAGTATGATACACCGGTGGATGAGGGCGCGAGTGACAGCAAGAGAGCGTTTCAAGAGCTGGGAGTTAAGCCCAAGGGACACATGGTGTTGATTGAAGCAGACAAGTTCAAGGGCGCTGTGGAGGCTGTAAAAACATTCTTGAACGGGCAGTAGATATGGAATCATACATGCATCCACCCAACAATAGAACCAAAGATGGCCAAGATTGACTCTGACTGGTGTTACATTGCAAGGACACAAGCTGAATCTATGTGAATCAAACCGTAGGAAATTGATGCTCGCTCCTATACACACAAGTTGACATCACCGCTGTCCACCACTGAAGAATTGTTCTGCTTAACCAATGACGACCTTGCCCTCCTCAGGGAAGTCGTATGCGGGAATCTCCAGGTTGAGCGGGGCAGGTCCCTTTCTTATGCGGCCAGAGATGTCGTAGTGGGAACCGTGGCAAGGGCAGAACCAGCCTCCAAAGTCACCAGCCTCACCAATGGGGACACATCCCAGATGGGTGCAGACACCTAGTATTGTCAGTTATGACTCGCAGACTGAATCTTGTATGCCTGACGTACCCAACATGATCAACCACTCGGGCTTCTGGACACGGTCCTTGTCGGGCTGGGGGTCACGGAGAGACTCCCACTTGGTGTCGTCGGCCTCCTTGATCTCGGATTCGGTGCGGTGTCGGATGAAGACGGGCTTGCCTCGCCACTTGATAATGACCTGCTCTCGTCAGCTCCAGTGTCCAAGTATTCCACATCGAACTGCGGAACTTACGTTCTTGCCCTCGGGAATGGCAGCGAGGTCGATTTCTACCTTGGCCTGGGCCAAAACGTCGGCGGAGGCGGACATGTTGACGAGGAAGTCTGTTGGGCGCAGTCGTTAGCCGTCCGGTCTTCATCAATTCGCGATCCAAATCATCTCCAAAATAGCCAATTGCTCTCCACCAGCTCCGAATATGCAGCATCGGGCGTTTCCAGTATTTTCCACCCCTCCGCTGGGCTATCGCATGGCTAGGGACCTACCCTGGACAGTCGCCTTCGCGCCAAGCGCACTCAGCGCACCCATGGTTCCGACCATGAAGTACTGGAACATCTTGGGGCCTGTCTCGCCTCCCTTATTCCTGTACGCAGCGAACGAGGGGATCTTGGTCGTGTCTGGGCCGCCCTTGAAGGGGCTGTCGAACGAGGAAGCCGAGGCGTTGCGGGTCTGCAGAGCGGTGGTGCCGGCCGCCCGAGCGACGGGCATCTGGTGAGCGGTCCATGAACGTGCAATGGCACGGGTTGTGTTGGCGAGGGCGGGCATCGTGGACGCGGGTGGGCGGTGGGCGGTGTCGTTGATGGGGGAGAGCTCGGGTTGAGTATGTCGAAGTTTTGGCGGTTTGGCAAGGAGCGTTATGTCAGGTGTCGTGTGATTGGTCGGCCGCTCTCCGCCGCATCGCCATATTCACCTGCAGCGTCATCGGCCAACATCACTACGAGCCTCACACATTGTCTGATATCCATGTCGCATTCAATCCCTTCATCAGAACGGCCATGGGATTCTAGTAAGTCGTGTTTGTGGTTCCTTGCAAGAGTGAGCAACGGCGTGTCCCCAGTATCACCCATAGAATCCTGGCTCGAAGCCAGCATCAACGCTTCAAGATTGTCAAATCATACCAAGTCTATTCCCATCCCTCTCTCTTGAGCACACCATCGCAGGTGAAACAGTTTGTGGTTTGGGCAAGCATTCCGACTTGATTGTCTTGGCGACTGCCTGGATGCTACCTATCTAGGTAGGTACAACCGTCTTTGAATCTATGCAATAGTCTTCCAAATTCAATTCTCCTCGCTTCAAGTACCCTCGCTTTTCACTTTGAGAACTCTGCTACAACAAAGCTTTCTGTTTGAAATACCACATCATGTCTCCCAACGACTCTAACATTAGATCTTACTTTGTGTCCAAGGAAGGAATCAAACCTAGGACAAAAGCCAGAGAAATCGACGAAGGATCAATTGATCGACCGCCAATGTCGACTGCTACAAAGCCACAAGACAAAGGCAAACGCAAGAGGAAACTATCAGGATCCTCATCCCCAGTACTCGAGAAGCGACGAGATACGGGGCTCTCAGAGGACGATACACCACCGCGCCACTTCTCGCACAAAGACTGCTCTTCATACCAGTTGCCCCCATCATCACTCTTGTCTGAGATGCCCAATACCACTCTCATCCTCACCCATCACACCGGAAACATCTTCGCCGCTCCCCCACATACTTTGCTAATACACGCTTGCAATACCCAAGGCGCCTGGGGCAGTGGGATAGCCAAAGCCTTTAAAGTCGAGTATCCAAAAGCCTACGCAATATATCATGCCTTCTGCACGAAAGAGCACCTTTTGAAGTCTCGACCTGTTCCCACTGGCACCGCCCTTTTAATTCCGCCTGTTGATGCTGGACACCAGCACTGGATCGGTTGCCTGTTCACAAGCGCAAAGTACGGAAAGGGCAAGGACAAGCCAGATGTTATTGTTGGGAATACCAAGCCAGCTATGGAAATGTTGCTGGAGCTGGCGAAGATGGCGGGTGAGATCGAAAGTGTCAGGATGTGCAAAATCAATAGCGGGAAATTCGGAGTCGAGTGGGAGCGGACGGTGGGAGTACTGGAGAGAATTGTAGTGAGGGACGACTGGAAGGCTACTGTGGAGGTTTGGGGCCCGGACACGGAATTGAAGGAGTAGAAGGCTGACGAGGGAGTTGAAGAAAGTATGAGACACATGCGAGCAGAAGCAGAGGGACAATCTAATCTGGGGTGTAGCAGAATTGGAACATCCCGCTTTGCTCAGAAGTAATGTATACAACTTCACATTCACGTATCCCGTTGGTTTACTTTCCATGTTCTTACATGAAGTCCTGATGCAGATCGTTGTTCAAACAACCCAGCGCTATTCCCATGATATACCCAGCTAACGCCGTTATGCAATGCAAGATAACATTCGTCTAGAACGTCGCCTCTCTCTCTGCTCTTCACGTCCTAGCGGATTCACTTTTGACCATTAATCGCAGTAAATCCACCGGTTGACCGCCTAGCTTCTGGACTCTTGCTTGCACTCGCCGTAGGTTGGCGAGGTGGGCCGCGCATCTCCATCTCGATTTGCATCGCTGCAGCGTCCTCTTCTGGCTCGCTGTCCTCTACCCGCTCGACCTCCTGGTCGACCTCCATGGCATCGGGCGTCTCGTCTGGTTTCGCTGGCGTAGGCGAGATGGTTGCATCGCCGTTGGTAGGCGTCTCTGTGTCCTTGTCCTTACCCGCGCCCACCTCGGCCGTGTCAACAGGGCCATCCAATGTCTTCTGTCCATTCACCACTCCGTCCTTCTGACCATCCTTGTCCTTCTTCTTAGCGTCCTCCTTCTCTTTCTCTTCCAGCTTCTTCTTCACGGTTCCCCATGTGCTCGTCTTGGGCGCAACATCGACCAAGAACTCTAGATTATCCGTCTTCGCTATCGCACTGCTGACATCGCGGTATTGGATGTTGCGCCGTGGCTTACGTTCGGCTTTGACAACATTGTGTGTAGTTTGCGCAAGGTGCTGAATGAACATTTCTGTCGCTAGTGCGATGGCAAAGGCGGCATTCTTGGAGGTTGTAATGCGTTCGGGGTCCGCTTGTATGATCTTTTGCACGCGTGCGACTGTGCCGTGTGTTAGAATGGTCGCCTACTATGAGGATGGGTGAGAGGACAGGAGTGAGAGTAAGATGTGAATAGGCCATTACTTACGAGGAAGCGATACATGGCCCGTAATCTCCTTGTTTGGCGCTATTGGTGTATTGTTGTAAGGCATAGTGAAAGAAGCAGCGACTGCTTGGTTTGAATGCGCGTAGGGTCGATGGGTTATGTTTGGGTGGTGCTTGATCCTAGGTGTTATCCAAAATGTCGATAGCAGCTCGTATGTATCGAAGGTACGACTTGACGCGGTTAGATCGCGCAGAATAGGCAGGGTGGGGGTGAAGTCGCGTGTGGTAGTAGTGGTGAAGTACGTTCGCAGAGCCAAATGCTCACACCCCTGCTCAATCGCCGCGGGCCTCCAACCGAAGACGACGGAGCGTCATCTGGCGGTGGCTACCTAGGTACCTTTCGTAAGGACCAACCTCCTTTCCTTCTCACCTCTTTCATACCTCCTTGGTGATACCCAGACCTGTGCTACGTATCTGTGAGATTTCCACCTTGCATTGATCTCTATTGAATCGTGTTTCGGTGCCTCTCGTCTCGTGTTGAACAACGCCATTACCGCCCATCAGGGTACCCTGCCAACCATGAAGCTCTCCATCCTCGGGCTGCTCTCCGCGACCGCAACAGCATCCTTGTTTTCGCAAGTGCCATTCCAGGAGAAACCAGAAGCAGAAGGCTTTCAGATCTACCAAAGCCAATTCTCAGAGCACCACTCTATCCGGATTAAGCAGCAACAAAACAGCACCATTTGTGATGCACGCTCCAAACAGTACACAGGCTGGCTGGACATCGGCTCAAAGCATATCTTTTTCTGGTACTTCGAGTCCCAAGATAAACCCTCTGAAGACCCGCTCCTGCTATGGCTAACAGGAGGACCGGGTGGTTCAGGCATGATTGGATTGCTGGGCGAGCTGGGGCCTTGCCTCATCAATGAGTCTGGAAATGGAACCGTGTACAACAAATATGGATGGAGCAAGAATGCCAACATTATATTCGTCGATCAGCCCGCTGGTGTTGGTTTTAGTTACGTCGACGAGGGAATCCCGCTTCCAGCGACGAGCTTCACAGCTGCAGAGGATATGCATCACTTTCTGCAGCTGTTCACCAGCGACGTATTCCCAGATCTTAGCAATAGGGACTTCCACATAACGGGAGAAAGTTATGCTGTACGTCTATGTTGCCGCTACCATTTACCAGACATGGGCTGATCACCAACAGGGCCATTACGTCCCAACACTCGGCGCCGAGATTGTCTCGAAGAACCTAGCTTATCCTAAGCGGCCTCAGGTCAACCTCAAGTCGACTTTTACAGGAAACGCATTTGTCTCGCCCAGAGATACTGCATTTGGTTTCTGGGAAACTCTATGCACGACAAACCCCGGTGTCGAGAGTCCCATCTTCAACCAGACCCGCTGCGACATCATGGCTACTAACCTTCCTCGTTGCATGGAGCTAACTAACGTGTGCTATAACCATCCGGACCCAGCCATATGTATTGCGGCTGAAGAAGTGTGCATGTACGGTGTTATTCTCTACTATGACGGTGAGGCTGGAGCGGGAGGTCGCAATCGATTCGACATCACGGATGGCTGCGAGACGAAAGACGAATTGTGCTACCCTGAGATGCAGAGGATACAAGATTACATGAACACGCCAGATGTTTGGAATGCACTGAGCGTACCCCAAGCCGTGAAAAACTTCACGGGACTCTCCTACGATATCGCATGGGCTTTTGCCCTCACCGGTGATGGAGTCCTAAGCACGCAACCTCAGGTCTTGTATCTTCTTGAGCACGGCATCGATGTGCTCTTCTACCAGGGTAATTTGGATCTTGCTTGCAACACGGCAGGTAACCTACAATGGGCCAACACGATGCAATGGAAGGGTCAACCTGCGTTTGTTGCGCAGCCAAAGCGATCGTGGGAGAACGAGGGGAAGGAGGTGGGGTGGTTCAAGGAAGTTAAGACAACGACTGCAAGTGGGCGAGATACGACATTTGCGTTCGCTACAGTGGACGGAGCAGGCCATATGGTGCCAATGAACAAGCCGAAGGAAGCGCTGGCCTTGGTCGATAGATGGATCAGGAAGAGGAGCTACGCGTAATTGTCGCGTGATTGATGCATATCGCGTTCTGCGTCAAAGTTGCGTCTCGCCCATCGGGAACGCTCCGTGATCGCAATATGCAAGCTTAAATCAGCCTCAGGCACCACATCGGCCTCATGCATGTCATCAGGCTTCTCGCGTTTGGTGCCCGAAATATCCATGGGTGGTGTTTGTTTTCCCCACCATGATGTAATTGCTACCAGCTACGTCATCATGGGTCCTAGCCTCTGCGCAAACTTCAGAACCTTAATAAAGAGGGGAGAAGACACTCACACGAGAACAAACAGCAATCAATCATCACTTCTCACTTCAAACTACACTTTACAAACCTTCTACCACTCCCACATACCCCCCACATACACACATACAACATGTCTGGAACTTCCAACGTCGGTAACAGCGCGGTGTACGAGTCTCAGGACCAGGTCACCCGCTCCAACGCCGAGATCGAGCAGGAGAAGAAGGAGAACCGCTTCCACGAGGGCAAGGATAACTCCCACAAGGCACAGGACTCCAGTATGTTTACCTCAGCCCTGCATGTGTTGCACTGCGTCGGTGTGACGCGATACTAGCCGTCTCTTCTCAAAGAACAATCACTAACCATGACGACAGAGGACGAGCGATCCATCGCCAACAAGCTCGAGCGCGAGGAGAAGCGTGAGAAGGAGGGCGAGGAGAAGTCTCTCGAGGACCGTCAGCGTGAGCAAGATGCCACCCTTCCCGCACGCGCACACGGCAACGAGCCCTCCAAGGGAGCCAAGATCGACCAGGAGCTGAGGGAAGAGGACGAGGCCATGCTCAAGAAGAAGGGTGCCAACTAAAGTGGTCGTGATATATAACGATTTCGATACCCCGCACACAGCACAGTGTGCTAGGAGTTGGAGGAGGAAGATAATAACTTGGATTGACGATGAAACGTCTCCATGAAGCCGGCCTGAGACACGGCAAAGGCACGAATGAAATAATTTCAACTTACACTTCTCTTTGGCCGTATGGCAATGTGCGATGGGGCGGATCAAGTCATAGATGGTGACACAAGAACCCCCCACACTGTCGTGCTTACAGTACCCCTCCATGCAGCCTGCCTGACTCGCGCAGCCTCGGAGTTATGCCAATAGCTAACCTCATAACCATCCCGCCTGCGTCCCCAAATTCCCCAATTGCCTTCCCCCACGCTGTGCAAACCTCCATCGCTGCATTACAAAGCATTGCGACGTACATGCCTAATCTCCTGTCCTCTCGCCAATTCTTCCGCGCTGCTACCTCTCTCGCCAGAGCCCCGTTACGACCCCGCATCGCGCCCACGAGTATCCAGCTATCGCGTATCCTCCAACAACAAACTGCGAAAATGGCGACCAAGATGGCAGAGCGCCTCAAGGGCAAGACTATTGTCATCACCGGTGCATCCTCTGGTATCGGCAAGTCGACAGCAATCGAGTTTGCGCGGACACAACCCGATGACCTGAAGCTCATCCTGACCGCGCGACGAGAGGACACATTGAAGGAGCTTGCACAGGAAATCCAGGGTTTCGCAAAAGGCGTCAAGGTCCTACCAGTAAAGCTCGATGTCAGCAAGCCAGATGAAGTGCAGGGCTTCGTTGGCAACCTACCACAAGAGTACAAGGACATTGATGTTCTGGTCAACAACGCGTATGTCATTACTCCTCTACATACTCTGGTCCGCGAGCTAACAGATATATCAGCGGCCTTGTAAAGGGCGTCGCTCAAGCCCCTGACATCTCCCCCGCCGACATCGACACCATGTTCAGCACAAACGTAACCGGCCTAATCAACATGACGCAAGCCATCCTCCCCATCTTCAAAGCACGCTCCACACCCTCAGGTGACATCATCAACATTGGCAGTATCGCAGGACGCGAGCCCTACCAAGGTGGCTCCATCTACTGCGCTACAAAGGCAGCTGTTCGCTCTTTCACAGACGCCATGCGCAAGGAGCTCATCGCTACAAGAATTCGCGTTATCGAGATCGACCCAGGGCAGGTGGAGACCGAGTTTAGTGTTGTAAGATTTGGCGGCGATAAGGAGAAAGCAAAGAAGGTGTACGAGGGCGTTGAACCGTTGACACCAGAGGACATTGCCGAGGTTGTCGTGTTTGCTGCAGGGCGAAGGGAGAATGTCGTGTTGGCCGATAGTTTGATCTTCCCGAACCACCAGGTATGTGCAGCAAGAGTCGATGGAACCACGAGGAGAAGGTTGCTAACTTCTTCCTTCAGGCAGCTGCGACCGTTATGCACCGAAAACCTGCTGGTCAGTAATGTGATATTCGATGTATATATAGCCATTGCTCATCCGCATATCAGAGATGGAGCAGGCATCCCGAATTCGACCATCGTTGTAGAAGACTTATTTGCTGTTGCCCACAGCAACCCTCGCGCTTGCTATTCTCTCTTTCCTTTACCTTTTCCCGCGATGTGTCCCCTCAGAAGTATTGTGTCGATGTTCAAATCGTTTCCCTTTTGGGCGAGTGAAAGACGCAAAGATAATCCGGCCCTAAGCAGAATATGGGAGCAAACGCAACCACCGTCACCGTGGTAAGCGCCTTCAAAAAGGCGACCCGCAGGTAAAGGCTTTCATGTTTGTTGAACAGCGACTTCGGTTGCATCTGAATCTGGTGTAAAGACACCACGCCTTTCGTCTCACATCACCCAAAACAATCGACCAAGTGTCAATCACCCAATTACACATTCTGTTGAGAAATAGCCTCAGTCTGGCATTGTCTATCATCGCGGATGCAAACCTAGCAATAGACACACGAGCGAGATGGCCCGACTCCGAGTTCCTGCATCGTCAGTTCGGGTTCGCCAGGCGACATCTATATACGCAGTCTCTAACAACCGAGCTACTAGACGAAGACATGAAGGCCAATCTGGGCGCGTACGTTAACGACCAGGAAGATGAAGACCGATCATGGAACGATTTGCAAAACTTCATACGAGAGAATCAGACCTTCAAAACCAAGTCTTCTGCAAGGGCGAAGCTACCCTCTTTGGCTCAATGCATGGCAAGGGCAGGTGTCGATAACGCTGATTTGGACCTTGAATCTGACTCAGAAGACGACGAAATTGATCTCAGTCAAAAGATCGAGCATGCTGTATCGGCATTCGCTGAGAAGATCAAAGAATATGAGAAGGATGAGAAGGAAGACAAGGAACACGTTAACGCTGACCCGTTGAACAACAACTATCTCGTCCACCACCCACCTATGCTGTCGCCTCTGGAGTCTATCGATATCTCCTACCCTTACAACAACAAGCAGAACTTTGGAATTCGCAGGCACAGCGACGGTAGGTCACTTGCGTCGCTCATCGCTCGCGCTGATGAAATCTCCGTTTCTTACAACGAAGATGTCTGCTTGCCTTGGTCGACTTTCGAACCATCCTCGCTGTCTTCATCGCCGAATCCGTCGTCTGACGCAAGCGTACTGGATCTATCTGCGGACGACGCACTTGCTTTGCTACGCGAGCGCTTCCGAATCGTACACAACGTAGGTGGTGGTACAGGTTACTGCCGTCGGGAGTGGCTAGATGCCAAGTTCAAGACGGGATGCAGCACGGTGCATGGGCCGTCCCTGTTGCGGTTTTCGACGAGCTGCTATGAGCATGTACAGCCACCGGTGATCACGAACGCGAGTACCGCCACACAGCAGGACCAATACGACCTCGTATCTCGTGTCAGGATTTCGCCTTCCAAGGATACACTGAATACCAAGTCGTCCGTTTGGACCTCCGCCTTCTCGAAATGCACCTCCATGACATCAATATCTTCCTATCAGACCGATCGTCTACAGTCAGCAAACAATGAACATCATCTCCATATGGATGGCCCCGGTATGGATGTCGAGAAGTATGAGCGCGATGACAAGCGGGATCGAAAGCGTGTTGATAGCGTACCTGTCCTTACCACTAAAGGTTGGTCTGATGAGCTACAAGTAGAGGATATTGAGCAGCTATATGCACCACTGTATACGTCCGCCGAAGATACTAGAGATGTCCCTGCGACGTTCGTGGCAAACAAGACCCATGACTCTCCGTTAGTGCGCGAGCGGACTGTAGACGATAATGTCTCAACTGATTTAGATTATGATTTGGAATCAGAACCGGCGGCCCATGATAGTCCCAACAGTATGCGGCGTAAGTGGACTAGCAGGATGAAGCATTTCATTAAAATGTTGCCAAAGAAGTCAAAGCAAGCCACACGCGACTGCTTTAGGGCTACAAAACAGTTCTCACGGACGGCTTGGAACTTGGTACCAGCTGCCGTACAGAGCCGGCGACCCTCTCCGAAGATCGACAGCGTTATCTAGGCGGTCGGCCAGGGAACTATTTGAAGTTGACACGATTGGCCTCACGGACCGTTATAACGACTCCGCATTTCACCCAGAACGATGGTTCGGCGAACGTTAGGGCCTACTTCAGATCGGAACATATGTTGGGAAAATGGTAGTGCGCAGAATTCAATCGAAAATCCTCCGCGGAACGTGTTTCATTGGGCAACACAGACGTATTTTGTACATTGTCTTTGTTTTTGCCATTTCTCTTTTGGCGCGCTAGGGAAACCCGGATCAAGACAACCATTTGTGTACAGAACTAGCATTTCATCTGTGAATATAAACCCTTGCGCGTACCCATGAATGTCCTCAAGCATTTTGTGCGAAAGCCAAAGTGTGGGTTACAATTGACTCAGCCTACGAGGAGTGAACCCTGGTTCGATCAAGGGTCATCCACCGTCGCAAAGTCAGCACACAACGCTTTCACTTGCCAAAATGTCTTCAGCCCCTCATTCATTACATAGTTTTTTGCCCGTCGTTTCCCTCTTTACGAATGACTGCGCACACACCATCATCGCAGAACCAGCAGGCATCAGGAGTGTTTGAACTCTCACCGTCACACACTCGCGATTGCACTTGCAACTTGTCGGTCCAGGAATCCCACCGCATCACGCTCTTTATCACAAAGTCTTCTCGGCTTACCTCGACCTGATTTGGTTCGCCGTTGCGAAAGTTGACATATCGACCATCTTCAACCGTTTTACTATCCCTACACACTATCAAACCGACACATTGAAGCCACAGGATATGGCTTCCGAAGATCTTATTGTTGATAGCCGCAAGTTCGACTGGGCTGATGACGACGATGATGATTTCGACCTGGATAGCTGGAATGCTACCGCCGACACCTCCGCGCCTACCGCCGCAGAGTTAGGTCCTCTTCAAGTCCCTCCTACCGGAGATGCGACGAAGGAAGAAGATGAGACCTACACCCTGTCCCGCATTCGCAACGAGCGCGCGTTTTGGCATTCTCCCGTCGGCGAAGAGTCATCCGACACTGAGCTTACTCAGAAACCAGAGCCTGCTACTCAATTGCCGGCCGAATATTGGTATCTCGCCGTCCTTAACTGCCGCCCAGAGCATCAGGTTATGTCCGCGCGGTTCGATCGTATAACTCGCGCTATTGGCTTGCGCTACGATGGCAAAGAAGACGCAGAGGCGCCCGCCTATCCGGAGTTGAGCAGCACCAAGAACTATCGGTCTAACTACATGAAAGGGTTTCAGAGCTGGAAAATGAAACATAGATCGCCCTCATGTGTTAAGGTCTATCGTAATTCACCCTTAAACATCGTCACTCCCATTGAAAACGCGCACGAAATCGACGACATGGACGACGGTGCGAGCGAAGAGGTGGAGGAGGTGCTCGATGAAGACGAGGCCATGCAGATATTCGCCTTTGAACAACAAGAGCAGGATCAGGTTTCCTTCTTCGATCGTCCCGAGCACGACCAAGAGGCCGATCGCGAGATGAATGAAGAAATTGACCGCATGCTTGTCGATCAAAGCAGGAACAACGTCGACATTTCAGAACAATTCTCGCGCAAGGAGCTGGAGGATTTGTATCGTCAGTACAAATCTCAGCAACTGGAGATTGCCAAAAGCGATACTGAAGAGCTATACGCTAATTATGGGCTTGATGTGATTGAAGAGGAAGATACCGCTTCGATCGATAGCTGGGAGGCCGGTAGCTGGGGTGAAGAGGCTTTTGAACCTTACCATGCTTACGCTCAGCGTCACGAGATGCCGTTCTTGGTTACTGACATGACGGAGAACAACGGAGCCTTATCCTCGCTATCAATTCCGCTCAATGCCCCGGCAACGGAAGGGGAGTTGGATTTCAACAGCGTGGTCTTTGGAGACGAGGACGAAACCCAGGATTCCAAGGCTGGGGTCACTTCTGAGACTGATTCCGAACCTAGCGATGAGGGCTATGCATCATCCTCACCACCTATCACTCCCACTCTTGAAACTTTTCAAACTATTGGCAGAAGGCATACAAAGGACAGCTTTATTCCAGCTGAGATGCGACTGAGCTCGTCTTCTATGCGCCGTAAGACCAATGGCCGGACTCACTCCATGGATGCACTCAAGGAGTTTAGACAGACTGCCAGAAATGAGCAGCCTGTCGACGACGCCTTCGAAGAAGATGAAAACTACAACATCCTAGAGAGTGCTCGACGAGATACAAAGTTTGATGATCATTTGGAGAATTCACTCAGAGCCAGCAACAGCCCCGAGTTTACCCTTATCGTCGTGCCACCGGAAGGAGAGGAAAAGACCAACGTTTGCCCTCTCAGCGATCTAGCGCTGATCTTGATCGAGGAGGCCAATCGCGTCATTCCAGACGAGGTTGAACATGGGGATCATCCCACCAACGATGAAGGACGTGGCACCCTCAATCTGTCCTTCGCCTTTCCAGGTCCGTCTTCCGATCAGACCTCATCCGTAACAAGAAGTACCCGAATTAACACATCGCCGCATGCTTCTCCATCATCCAAGTCTTCTTCTCGTCGCTGGTCAGATCCTCCGAAATATATTCCTGATCCTCCGTCACCCTTGCCGTCCCGCGCTACTCGGCACAAGAAACAGAACTCCTTGTCGCTCGACCATCTAGCTAGCGTAGTCACGAAGAGCAGATTCTACATATGCGAGATGCCTTGGACCCAAGTTGGTGCCATGGCAGCCGGGGTGGTTGCTGGTGGGCTAATAAGTATGGCCCGGCGTCATTAGGCTGGATCTACAAGGCGCTGCTTGCTTGGGCTCAAGAGGAAAAAAGGCCTGCGATAGCTATTATTGGCAGGTAAAAAAAGCACCAGTACACATTGCAAGACTGCCAGAGGGCGTGATTTCTTTCTTTTATTATCTGGATTGGTTTGCATAGTGAGTGTAGTTCTGTTGGCAGTTGTGGTGGCGTCATATACCCGGTGTGCTTTCATACACATAGCATCATACAGTTGAGGCAATACATTAATCAAAAGTTTAACGATCGAGATGTTCCATTATTTTGGAAACTAAATAGTATTCTCATCAAACGTATAAGCTGACTGCGGATATTCACAACTCGAGCGAAACCAGGAACATTCGAAGGATACTGTTGAGCTACATCGAAGTCTTTTTTCACCACAACCAGATATAACGTGATCGTTTCAAACTGCATATATTTCTGATAACCGTAGTCATCAAGATAAAGAGAACTATATCAAGCTATTCATGTAAGTTTTCCACCTTCTCATACCGGATGAGCAACCTTGGCCGTCAAAAGGTTCCGAATATTTCCAACGAAGAAGCTCAAGATGAAGCAAACACCACCAAAAGCGATCGAGATCCAATATGGCCACTGATACGCCAAGGCGAAAGCCTCTTGCGAAGCTGCCAATATTATAGGGAACGAGTCTCGCTTCAAAACTTCAGGGCTCGTAGCAAGAATCTCTTTGACTTCATCGAACCTCGCGTTACCCATGAGGTTGGTAACGTGTGTGATGACGGCAAGTCCTTCAGCTGATAGAGGGTTGATGATGGCGCCATACGCTAAGGTCTTGGTGGCGACGATCTCGGTCAAGTGTATAGTGACTTTGCGGAAGAAGAGGTTGGAGTACACGGCGAACCCGATTGCGCCACCAAGGTAACGGATGCTAAGTGTGATGGCCGTAACGGTGGCAATGAGTTCATCCGGACAAGCAATCTGCGCAATGATTGAGGAAGGAATAATGACTCCACCGACTCCGACGGATGCCAATGTGACGACAGCGTAGACTACGTTGAGGTTATCTGGTCTCGCAATGCACATGGCTCCTGTACCAGCTGTCATCATGGCAGTGAAGAATATCATCAACTCGCGGACGCGGCCTTTGGTAATGGGAATGAGGACCAGGCAGACAACCGCGCCGCCGATGATGCCAAAGCCAATGGGTAGCGAGCGAATACCAATGCCGACCGGGTCGTCACCTATAATACTCATGTTAGTACGATCGTACCGTGCGGGACTACCGGGGTATGTGTTTACCATAGACATTGTAGACCTCGGTCGGCCAGAAGAGCAGCATGACGAAGTAGTTACCGCCACTGAGGAAGGTGATGAGAAGGATTACGATCATGGTCCTTTTGGCTTTGTGGAAGAGCGCCCGCGGAACCATAGGGTATGGAGCATACACTTCCCATACGAAGAAGGCGATGATAAGCACGATACCCAGGACGAGAGGCACCGCGTTGTGCGGGCTACCCCATTCATACTACAAAATGTCAACATTGCCGTGAATGCTTGCTCTGAGATCATATACTGACCTGTGATGCGCCCCATTGTAGCCCCATCATGAACAGAGTGATGCCAACTGTACTTAGGATACCGCCAATGTAGTCGACCTGGCGGAGGACATGGCGGGCAGTGTACTCCTCAGTCAGGCGGGACGGATCCTTGTAGCAGAAGATACATAGTATCAAACCGACGAAGTTCCATACTCCAACCAAGATGCCGTTGTACCTCCAGTCGCTTTGTTGAGCGATCAACTGAGCCCACAGCACTGATGGGCAGAAGGGAAGGATGGTGATCACCACAAGGCCAACGTACTTGCCGCGGTCCTTGATCGGCACGACCTCTGCTGTACCGGCGAGGGCGATAAGCTCGTTCAAGCCGGCACCGATGCCCGAGAAGACCTGACCGGCTAAACCGTATTAGTGTGTGGTATTTTATATAAGGTTGCGGCACTTACCGATGGCAATGTTCATAGTGTTTGCGGTCGCAGTTATGATCGGCCCGATGATGAGTGCTACCTGGCCTACGATAGCCACCTTCTGACGTCCGAAGAGGTCTGACAAGGCTCCCACAAATGGACAGAGCGCCGCGTTTGGAATGAGGTATCCAATGACAAACCAAATGTATCGATCAACTCCACCAACATCTTGATAGATGAGCGGAAGGACTGAGCCGAAGAGGTAGAGCGGAATCTGAGAGCCAATCCAGAGGAATGACATGCAGACAAGAGTCATGAACAGCTTTGCGTTCATCTGGATATGCCATGGTCAGAGCTGAAACTGAAGTGCAAAGCGTCTGCACTCACCTTCTCATGCACTTCTGGGCCTCTGCTCATGACAGGTGCCAACTGCTGTTTCTCGGGCTCGCCCGGTGGGGTGCGAGTAGCCACCATCTCGAGATGGTCTTGTCCATGTTTATCGAAATCGTGAGAAGGGCTTGCTGATCTCGTTGCCTCCTGCATGTTGACAATGGTGGAGCTGAGAGAGCGTATAGTCAGGAAGAAAAAGAAAGTTCAAGACGTTCAAGTAGTTTGATTGCTCTCTTACCCTAGTAAGGAGGGACTATCGATACGTAGTCCTAGCGTTCGATTCATCCCTCATATCTGTCGCGTGGTAGTAAAATAGATAGACTGAATCGACACTAACTTCACACGAGCCGCGGCAACAAAACGCTGTGCGCGGGGCTGACTGGACCAGCGACATGAGCCAAGACACCCCTCTAACAACAAGACGCCGCCAGCCATGCCGTATTGCCCGTTTGACGACTTGTAGATCATAGTGGAGTCTGTGGCGGACCCATTGGTGCGGGGGCCCCGCACGCTTGCCTACTAGTTGCAGTAGCGTCCGGAGTAGAAAGCTTGCCTCATTGGTGCAGCACACGCTCTCCTTCTCCTTTACATAAGGCTTGCCTCTTGGTTGTGTGCTCTTGCAGGATGCCTCGAGAGATGTTAATCAGTGTCACTAAAAAGGGCCCTCGTTCGAGCGACGCTCTGCCTTGCTTGGTGTTTGCCTTTGGAACAGTTGTAGTCGTGTCGAGTTTGGACGCGGCTGAACGACTTGAGCGGTAACATGTGAACGTAGAAAGTACTAACGAGGACGTCGTTGGAATATTCGCACGGCCTCGGCAAGGGTAACCCTTGAGCGCTTAAAAAATGCCTAAATTGTGGCCAGTCCTATGGGTGCTGTCGATCTCTTCTAGGTGTTAACTGCTGTAAGCCACAGCCCTGAAATCCATGGCATTTGGAAAGTTACCGAGGGACATTGACGTACGGCGTGTGTCTGTATTGACGTACAGATTAGCATGAGCCATGCTCGCGGGTACGTACGGGAACCACTGGGCGCCTGGACCAGGCTCCAATGGCTTTGGATCGGGCCTACATTTGTCACACGTCTTACAGCCGATATCTCGACTACACAATCTTCGTACATGCTATAAGCGAACCGTTTCCTGTGAATGTTTGAGTGAGAACGAGTGTGAAAGGTAAGATGTGAGGGCGTTCTTCGAATCCTAGTGCCTAGATCAGAGCATGAAAGTAATATCTCTGCTGTAATCTCAAATCGAGCCGTTCTCTCGTGAGTGTTGGTATAGATATCCAGACGCTGTCGCGGCCATCTCGCACTATGTTATAGTTGACTATCAAGACAGTCGTTAGTTCACGTGGAGTGGTGATACAGGAAGCCATGAGAAGCGAGGGGCTCTCTTCGGAGGATAGCACGAAACCAAGCTGGAGCGTAGACTCATCAACAGCTTCGGCTGAAATGATACTTACTGAGCTCCTTGGAGGGGAAAACATGCCACCGGAAACGGCGGCCTCCAAATTCCAGCTCAGTTTCTCAAACAATGAATTGTGATTGCAATAGATCGAAAAAGGTCCAGCGCTTCTCTGTTCGACAATGTTGGCGCATGTTAGTTAGCACATTGACAGACCGCGTTCCTCTTTCACGCGCTGTCCTTCGAAAACTTTTGCCGCGGCACACAATAAGCGTGACTCTTCAAATGCACCACGTGGAAAGACCCAGCTATCAGGTCCATTCGGGTAGAAGTCCGTTGCAGCTCCAACGTTTTCACCCGCAGCAGCTTGTTGCCTGCACTAGCTGGAGCACATTCACTGTCCCAACACCAATGAATCCGGATAGTCTGGTCCAGCCCCGCTTGAGAGACACAGTGACGGGAATTAATAGCGTAGGACTTGATGTTCACGTCCCCAGGATAGTCGAAGCTGAGCGACGAGGATAACCAGTGGCCGCTGAGAGCTCCCGACTTCTTGAATCTGCTTGCGATGCGTGACTATGGCGACAACTCGGAACAAGATATCGAGACTGAAATAACATTTCCGACCAGATCGACCGCAGCGTAGAACGGCAGCGCTATATATCAGCCTTGAGTAGATGATAGCATCACGATCTGTGCTACTAGTGGTAAATACAGTTGCAAAAAGAAAACTGAAATATGCTACTGACCCGTTTCTTGGTCGGGTTCACTTGTAACAAGTCTGGGGGTAAATTGTTCACGCCCGCTCTTATGCTGTAAGAATGAACGAACAGGGTTCGCAGCGTAAAGTTTGTTTTTGGGATATAGCTTTTCTCGAGCAGATCAAACGCTGGAGTGAGCATATTAGCAGAGGTCGATCAACCAAGTTGTGTTCAGAACTTTAGGGGAAAGATTCGAAAAGCTCTTCTGATAATCCCGTAGCACATGGCTGAGCGGCTTGTAAGGTTCACAGAGACCAAGGGCCGAGCGTCGGCGTTTATTCTCCTGCTTGTTTAGCTTGGTGGCCAATGATCGACCAAGCTTCGGATGCCTTCCCTTTTTTTGTGCGCAGATTAGGACAAATCATATATTTGGAGCGTGCAGTGTTGTATAGTTACACGTTATCGGTCGATTGTTGGGATGGCAAGATGCCGATGCCGGCATCATGCCGGTAGCTGGAAGGAAAGAGATGGGGATCTACAATTAGCGTCTTGGCCTCCCCCCCTCCCGCCCCCATCTTCTAGCACAAGTCTATGAGAGTCCCCAGAGTTGCATCGCACTCTGATCGGATGCCAACATACCTTATTTCACAGTACCTAGGTGTCTTGCCATCGCACCATGATGTCAATTGACCCGAAACTTTCCTTACTAGCCATCAAAGGAGTATGATTCTGATCTTCCTCTCTTTCGAGAAGACTCTCCGCCATGTTCTCCTACTCGCGTACGATATCGCTCCTGCAGAAGGTGCCCCCCTATAACGAGATTTATGCGAAACAGACCGCGCCAGATATCCTGCGCATATTCCAGAGAGACTCAGATGGACCATTGTCTGCACATCAAGGCGACTCATTGTTGTCATCAATCTTGAAGGGCAGATCTGGGAAAAACTGCGGGCTTGAAACATTGTGTACAACATGCCTTTTACGACACAACCTAAACTCTTTGCTGTGAAGATGCACTTTTCATCTACAATGTGGACCTGGCACGTTGTAACACTCTGATTTTACAGCACACCAAGGGCGATCCTGCCCAATGTACCTAAACAGCTCTCCCGTCCCATACCCAAACCTTCAAGATCTACCACTCAACCTCGAACTTCCACTACTGCATCCTCGTAGCTGAGGCGCCTTATGTTTACGGTGTCTCTATTCCGTAAGTACTTCAACATTAGACGTATGGTGCCGTCAATCAACGCGGATCCTGGCAGTATGTTTGACATCGAGTTCGACAACCCAACGTGTAAGTATACTCCATGTACGACCGACATATGAGATATCCGCTAATCTCATACATCGAATTTTAGGCATCATGTGGGCTGTATTGGCACTTGCCCGTCTCGACGAGAAGATACCTTCAGATTTCGAAAGTATTCATGCCTTTAGGCTTCGCAATGCAATCGACGACGCTATTCGAGCTTTCTGTGATGACTGCATGGAAGCAACATGGTCTACACTGTATAGTGATCGAGCATGGCAAATCGTAAGTACACTCAGGCGTACTGCTGCTGATTACCACAGACACACTGAAGACGTTCAAAATCCTGAGGTGGAATGTGGATACCTGATTGAGCTGTTCAATGTGTTCTCCATGCACGTACACCAGCAAGAAGATAGGGACTTTACTGAAGCCTACGGTGCTTTAGGTATGGTGGCTGCTATGGCGATCAAGATGGGAAGCATCCTTGGACAACGAATCTCAGACATGTTCGACATGTTTAACAATATTTCTGCTGATGAAAACGTACCCAACGATACTATTGCCATTCGTACGAATCAGCAAATCGATCTCCTATGTGCAACCATCGAGCAGTTTGTACGCGAGCAGTTTGGAACGAACGGCGCCTACACCCCGGTATCGGAAGCGCGAGACATCGTGGGTCAGTCATTCGTTCGTCTAATCCATGAGCCTCTGCGACAACACGTCGAAAGCGCCTTCAAGATGCTAATAAATGACTTGGCGTTTTGCAGCAGTCATACTGTGAACAAGTATCAACCTGATATCAAAGAGAGGGTTGCTATGTTCTATGAATCCCTCAGCAGATTTTTCTCATATTGTTCGCCGCTGCTGAGCGCCTTCTTCCTTCCAGAGATTTCAGACGACGAAAACGAGCTCGACGAGGACGAAGACGAGGACGAAAACTATCAAGAACACATACCCGAACATGTGGCGAACCATGACTTCAGCCGGTACGACGATTTCGATTGGCATAGACGCGAGTTTGAAGTTTTTGATGTTCAAGATGTACTTCGTGGTCCGGAACACGCAGACATGGATGGTGTCTCTATAGCACTCAGCTCAACCGACTCATCCTGCCCTCTCTGCGCCGACGCAGATACCGAGATGCGGAAGTTAAATGTTTGCAGCCATGCGATATGCGCTATATGTTTGGACGCACAGCTTAGAGTTCAGCATGAGTGTAGGTACAAGTGCGCAATATGCCGAGCAGAGTTCTTCCCTAACTGACCTTGGATGAAACGAGGCTCCCACGGGTATCTTACCTACTCCATTCTTCTATGCCTTATCCACAGAGAACTTACCATAAGCTCATTGTTCTTGGGAATATTTCCCATAAGTATCATGAATGGGGAGCGCTACCAAGGTAGACTTATCAACTGGGTCTCGAGAACGAACGCGATGTTACCTATGCAAGGGTGAGAGGTCTCCGTTGGCGCACTTACTAATGGCAGATCTTGGAAGCCGTCAACTTGCAATCGCGCTGGTGTTCGATTCTGCCATACATAGCGTCAATAATGATCTTCATAATGAGTCGTAGTATGACTTTAATTCGTTGTCGATGAAGTTTACGGAAAGCGCAATTAGATCTCTATTGACACCTGGAGCAGTGCAATGTGAACGTGTTCGTGTTACGTGTATCACTGCACAAGCACCATTGATCTCGCATGCTCCTCGCTTCCTGAAATCAGGTACATGAGTATCATTTAGAACTGTCAAGTCTGGTACTCTGACTGAACTAGACACATATTAACGTTGCGCACAACGTTGGCGTCAAGTGTTCGCACTATGTATAACCGAAGATGTGTTGAAACAGAGCGGCTTAAGTACAGAGTATCTGTTTCTGATTCCTACATGTAATGAGGTAGAAGAGGTCGATCCCCAATCGAGATCAATTCCTGCTTGGTGTACCGCGCTCGGCCCCACTGCGCTGCTCCATATTAGGACCCTTATCTCTCACCTTATCTCTCGGCACACTTCCACAACCTTCTATAACTCCCGGTACCTCAAGCAATACAACTTCGGTGAGATTTCGACACCTACTTAAAACACACGCCCGAGATACGCACAACTACTCCCCACTGTGAGTGTGTCATGGACCATCACTACCATCAACCCCTCTGGCCACTACTGGAAGGCGCATTCGATTACACGATGAACTTGGCGGGTGAGCTTTGGACGATGATTTGGAGACCAGTGGAGCAACCATACACGCAGCCAGCTAGCAAGATGGCCAGCCAAGGCTCACAAAAAGAGGACAAATCGACGACTGCTAGTTTGAAGGCAAATTGGTCGGGAGAAGCAATGGAAGGTTGCCTATCTGAGCAGCTCAAATGTGGAAGATGAGAAACTTACGCAGATATGTCTATGGAGGGGATAGATGCTGGGTATAGTAATGGATGTCATCTACTCTATCAGAACGCAAGCTGACAGGATAATTAGACAAGCTTAGCGCCACGGTCACCAGTATGCAAATGGCCAAGCCTGGCAACCGATAGCTGAGAGTAAAGGTGAATTAGTACAAGTCGCGACTGAATGTTAGCCGACATGCTAACCGGTCTGAAGGGTACCAAACTTGACATCTTACGTGACTGCAAGTTAGGCGGTCTTTACGACTAGGGAAAGCGCCTTTACAGATCGGAGATGCATACAACAATACCTTTTCTCGGTTCCATGAGTAAGCGCCAGTTCGTTGGATACAAGTGGTGGTACTATGCGACATGACGGCATTGTGCGGTAGCGACGAAGTTTTCTGGGGTTTTAGCAATCACCTAAAGGCACATACTAAGTACATCTAAAGCATCCGCGACATCGCTAATGACGAGCCATAATTAGAAAATGCCGCAGCGATGATGTGTGTACCACGCAATGGATATTATATTGCAGATACCCCTCGATAATGAAGCCTTACAATGCAAGTGTCCATCTAGTTCCAATTCATCTAAGCACCTGACTTATTCCGAGGAAAACAATCAAATTTGCATAACAAACAAGTCGATCTAGCATATCACAATGCATCTCTAATACACTCATTGGTGTCTTCGGAAGCTCTCGACACATCGCTGGTGTTAGGTACGAGCGCTACTATTCTTCTGCCTGCGATACCGATACCTCAGGCGTGGAATTGCAATGCCAGTGCTACATATTCTAATATCGCGGTGTACATGGGGCGATGTCAAAGTTGATTGATGCGGACCTACTCTCGGGTGAACCGGAATGGTACGGAGGAGGCATCGCCAATAATTGTAACCTGAAAAGCGTGAACTTCACTTACTTCCAGATATCCATGTTATGAAGGCAACCTCTTAGACGCAGTTGCTGGAATATGTGCTCTTTTGCAAGTGGACCTTCGATTTGTTTGTCACCTACGCACGTGCCGTTTGCGACTTCCTCTTTGGATGCGCTTCTGTCGCTCTCACTCCGCAAAGCCATTGATCGGATCAACTCACGATTCGATTCTGCCCTTAACACTCCCCCAGTTCGCCTAGGAATGCAGGACGCGACTTAAATTCCGATAAGCAATAAGCGTGTCTTAGCAACTCTGACAGTAAGTAATCTTGATGCAGACGTGCTTTACTGCGCTTGCAACTGAAGCTGCTCTGGCGATTCTAAAGATCTCAGCTAACATTCAACAAGGCATCTGCGATGGCCTCGGTACAGCAGAAAACGCAACGCGTTTGGACGCTCCCACCGGCGACGTCGAACTCTGACAAACCACTCGCTGTCGCTCTTGCTACATACCCGGTTCAGGAGGTGGGCATGCAAAAGCTATCCTTGTACTTCATCCAGAATACTGATACCAATCTGCAGGCACTAGTCTCGTTCTTGACACCCGACGATCTCGTTGTTCTTACCCTGATTTCGCAGGCTTTCCATAAGCACATTCGGATGGACGACGCCAATGCAAAGGCCAATCTTCTCTCCAAAACTCTGTGTCCAGGGATGGGCTACTTTGCTCGGGCAATCAGCCATTGCATCTGCTCAGTAAAAACGTTCGAACCTATAGTTGACTGTGCTGGACTCGGCTTCGCGACAGAATCTCGCCCATGTGCGAAGTGCGGAGTCAACACCTGCGACGAATGCCGAATACATGTTCTCTATAACTTCCTCACAGAAGACTCTGGATTTGACCAGCGTCGCTGGTGGGCAGGCTTCTGCTTTCTCCAACCTGAAGCCATTACTGTGTATCCACCCAAGAACTCGGAAGAAGATGCTTGGCATCTACCTATCAAAGACATGAAGCCTCTGCATGACCAGGGCCGCATTCACATTCCCCTGAATATTATTGCCATTGGCGACCCTGAGCCCTTTCAGCGCATTCTCGACCTTGACTTGGGCACTCACCAATTCATCGAGCCTATTGGTCGCACACAATACCCATACTCTGGCGTTCAAATTGTCTCGTCGCTCAACATGATTGTCAACAAGCGCAAAGATCTGACTTGTCCTTCGTGTTACCAAGAACGCCGGACGAAAGGCCTAGCGCGATGTTCTTGTACCCTACGCAAGCGCTTTCTACACCGGTGGCTGTGTGCGACCTGTTACATCCAAGAGGACCGTGCAGATGAAGATCTACGCTGCCATACCCCAATAGCAGACGAGGTAGGGGAGGGTCACAGTCATGTATGCGGTTGCGGTGCGGAGTTCACATCGGAAGCTGAACTGAAAGTCATGTGTAATTGGTGCAAAGGAGAAGTTCAAGGGCCTCAGCAAGGTGCCGAGAACGATGTCGCTAGTGAGAATGGCGAAGACATCAGCAACGACGAGGAAGAAGGGGGAGGAGAAGGGGAAGACTACCCTGATGAGGATCATTCCGCTGCTGACTTCGCGCATGTACCTCAGGACGAGTTTGGCTTCGTTGAGAACCATGACCATTCTCTGTCGGTATACGTGAACGGAGAGTGTATCCGCGGCGAACGTCTTGGTCGGTCCGTGGTTCGTCAGTGGATGAGAATTCAAGGCATGCATGTTGAGTGCACATGCTGTAAATGCAGTAATCGTATCGCTGACCATATTTACGCGGAAGATGAAGAAGACAGGGACGATACGGACGACGCTACAGAAGATGACGATAGCAGTGAAGACGAAAACTTACCTGACCTGGAGGAAGTTGAGTCCGCGGCTGGCTTCGAAGATCAGTGGGGACTAGACTGAGCGCCAACAACAAGCTTGTACAGGATCAGATCACACAGTGTATTACCGGTGAACGTGTGGACTCATTAGCGCCCGAATGGATAGACTCAGGCATGACTGTCGCATGCCATGTATAGTTAGTGCTGTAGATGTCGTAGGAATTGCCCGTGACCGCTCTTCCTGCTCAGCGATATTTAGCCTATCCACAGATGCAGCGCCATCACAATGGAAGAAAGAACAAGCATAGCGATGTTACCAAAAAGTAAAGCCAGCAATAACTTTCTCTTTCATTCATAGTCAGTGATTGGCATCTGAATGACAGGTGCTGAGACTGAGTTAGTAACTCCCCGCAGTCCACACACGACCTCTTGCCCGAAGTGGGTCGTGGAAGCTTGGCACTGACACATTGATGTCGCTCGGACTGTGCCTGATCGCTTCGTCGCCGCATCCCCATCATCAGCTGCACCTTCCAACAACCCAGCATCGTCCAATCGCGGCTTTGCCACACCGACTTCCGCTGGCCAAGATGTGTTCGAGCACGCTGTACGTGCCGCGAGACCTGCTGGTAAGGTGATTGCTACCTGGATATCCATCCTGACCAGGCCGCGATTGTAAGGTTTTAACAACTCGAACACGTCAGACGCGACATGGAGGTTTATGGCCGTTCGCAGCTACCAAACCATGCTCTTTTACAATCAGAATGTCGCGCGAAGTCCCAAGACGGGGAAGGACGGCGGTGAGTCGCAGTACCTTATCGGTGCGACTTCGCCAAGACCTATCGCCCGATGATTTCGGGGCATCGGTAAAATGCTCCAAGCACAGCGCATGACAATGCGTCGGATTCAATGGAGAACACGTCCCGATTATTACAGAAACGTTCGGTCCGTCTATTCATTACTTGGTGGTTCACTTTTCCTTCGCGCACATTGCTTCCATTATCATTACATTAGATTCACGACCTACGCCTGCCGACATACCAAGTTTGATCGAACGCAACTACCACTACTCTTATTCTTGTTCCATCACTTTAGAACGGTATACGTGCTCTTTGCCCAGCAGAACGCTGGATATCGACACTGAGATAATGAAACTATTACCCACCTTCTCGGAGGACCGTAGCGCTCAGACGACATCACTCAAGGACATTGCGCAAGATACAATTGGAGAGACTTACACCGAGGAGGACCCGTCGGTAGCAGAATGGTTGCGCGGATGCATCCCGACCTCACATGATGCCGCAGAATACGTACGCGAGTTGTTTCCGAGCGTACGGTGGCTGAGACGCTATAATCTACACTGGCTGGCTGGAGACGCTATCGCAGGTATGCAAAGTAATCTCCAGAAACTCTTATTACACACGGCTAATACAAGAAAGGTATCACGGTCGGTCTTGTTGTGGTACCGCAAGCCATGGCTTATGCGTCGCTCGCGCGCCTGTCACCTGCTTTCGGCCTATACACAACCTTCACAGGCGCGTGTCTGTACTGGATCTTCGGGACATCTAGAGACATCGTCATAGGTGTAAGTAGATCCTCTAGGCAAGCTAAACTCAGCTAATCATAATCAGACGACAGCAGTCGGATCACTACTGATCGGAAGCGCAGTCAGCAATATCGAAGCCGAACACCCCGGTGTATATCAGCCCCAGGAAATAGCGCATGCGATAAGCTTCCTTGCTGGAAGCATTATTCTAGTCTTTGGTATCCTTCGTCTCGGCTTCATCATTGAGTTTATTCCATATATCCCCATCTCCGCCTTCGTCACATCAGCCAGTATCACTATCATCTCGACACAGCTGCCGACCTTGATGGGGGTGAGAGGGATTAACACACGTGAGTCCCCGTACAAGGTGTACGTCAACTTCCTAAAGGGCTTACCCAGGGTAAGACTTGACGCGGCTATTGGTATCACATCCATTGTGCTTCTTTACCTAATCAAGAACTTGTGCGCTAAGATGGAGGTCCGCCAACCACGAAAGAAGAAGATGTGGTCCTTGATCTCATCACTGCGCCTCACGTTCACTATCCTGCTCTACACTCTCATCAGCTGGCTTGTACATCGAACGACCCCTGCAGGCCAAGAAAAGTTTCGAATTGTCGGCCACATCGAGAAGGGATTCAGTCACGCAGGCGTACCCTCGATGAATGGCAAACTCTTTGGTTTGGTAGCATCAGAGCTCCCGGCAATCATCATCATCCTCATCGTCGAACATATCGCCATCGCCAAGAATTTTGGGCGAAGGCATAATTACACCGTCATTGCTTCACAGGAGATGATTGCACAAGGTGCCGCCAACATACTAAGTCCTTTCGTCGGTGGCTACATATGCACAGGCTCTTTTGGTGCTTCTGCCGTTCTCTCCAAGGCTGCGGTACGTACCCCACTATCTGGCGTCTTCAGCGCAGTGGTCCTAGTGCTGGCGCTCTATGCGCTTACCGCTGTCTTCTACTACATACCAAATGCTGCGCTTGCTGGTCTGATCATACACTCCACCGTCGACTTGATCAAGGGACCCAAGGACTTACACAAGTACTACCAACTGTCACCGTTCGAGCTCTTCATTTGGGTTTGTGGCGTTGTCATTGCATTCTTCACCGACCTTGAGACTGCAATCTACATCACTGTGGGACTGTCTTTCGCAATGCTTCTCGTCCGAATGGCAAAGAGTCCGGGCAAATTTCGAGGTACCGTAGAGATGACGCGCATAGTTCGCGACGATCGCTTCTGCAATAGATCTATTTCGACAACAGGCACATCGCTGCCTCCACAGATATATGGAGAAAACACGTATGACACCAGTACTGCAAAAGATTCCAGACAGGTCTACATGCCTTACGACGCCATTGACAACCATAACCCGGACATCAATGTAGAACCGGCATATCCTGGCGTCTTCATCTACCGTTTCAGCGAGAACTTCAACTACATCAATCAGGCTTACCACGTTGACTATCTTACCTCTTACATCACCTCGCATACGCGCCGAACCCAAGCCGATGACGGTATCCGGGCTTGCGATCGCTTGTGGTGCGACGCGCCGCCTAGCGAGAAGCTTATTGAAGAGTCTTCCTCTCTTCCAGTTCTGAGGGCTGTTGTTCTTGATTTCTCCACTGTCAACATTCTAGACATCACGAGCATTGACGGATTGAAAGGCTTGCGCGAGACGCTCGACCGGCATGCTGCGCCCGGGCTGGTTGAGTGGCACTTTGCTGGTGTGCACAACCGGTGGACACGCAAGGCGCTCACCTTTGCAGGATTTGGATTCCCTGCAACGATCAACGCCGACCATATGGGAGTATGGTGTCCAGCCTATACTGTCACGACCAGTCTTTTAGGTACAACGGGTAATGAGCGTAACGAAATCGAGGCTGCACGGCGGCATGTGCAGAATAGAGACGAAGAACAGGGCAAGGAGTTGGCGGAAACGCATGCTCTTGAGGTACAGTCGACCTCTGCGACCGAGAAGAGAAGATTTCATCCAATCCATGGGGTCGATAGGCCCTTCTTTCACCTCGATCTTCACGACGCCGTTGACGCTGCGGTTCGTGATGCGAAGAAGGCTGACCAGCTTGAGGCGCGCACAAGCTGTTCGTCAACTACATGGTCACAATCACATGAGCAGGGGGGTGAGGCGTAGAGATCCGTTTCGTTATCACGATTTCATACTTCATTGATACTGTTGGTATGCATGGCGTTCAGCGTTCAGGCGTTTGTATTTGGCATTACATTAGCATTGAAGTCATCGGCTTTGGGAAGCGCCGGCTTGAGGCAGCGAACGACTCTAGGTACGACGGCAGACCATAGTATGAGTCAAAGCCTATCAGGGCCAGTGAGACGGACGAGCAGAAAAAGGTTAGAAAGTCGTACAGCTCTTGGATGTGCCGTCTTGGTGAGGCTGAGACTCACTCGACGATTATACGACGCCTCTGGCAAGAATCCTAATGTAGAAATCATACACAGAAAACGCATTGTTGTCATACCAATGTTATAGTGAAAGCGCGGCTTGACTGCTATTATTAAAACTTGAGGCCAACCCATACCCTAAGGCGAAGGAACATATTACTTGTATATCTCTTTGCGAAATCTACAACCGCAGATTCTTACTAAGGACTAGGCTAGTTACAAGAACTCCAAGAAGCACTGTACAGCTCAAGCTAAGAAGCATAAAGAGCTATGGAATTTAAAGGACTCTAGAGGTAGGTTTAAGGTCGACGCGATTAGCTTTATAATATCAACAAGATTAGCAGTGCTGATAAAGATGCAGATGTTAACAACACATTCGGTGGTGGTACCACTAATGATAATAATGGCCAGGACTCTGCTGTCGAAGCAACTCTCTCGTGGTCTTAACGACAACTCGGACGACGAGACTGGTCATCGCCAAGTCTGAATCGGCATTGGCACTCTCAAGCCTTTCCAGCCTTTTCTTGGAATAACAACGACCACCTTCCTACAACAATCGCATCTCATGTCGCGTCCATAGTCCCACGTGTAGGCATTAACAAGTGTCAACTTATTCCCGAAACATCGGACACTATCTTTGATACTTATCTATTTGTGTCCCAAAATGCGAGGCTTAGATATCTGCTTGTCAAGCACAAAACCCCGACAGCAAGATGTCTCACTATCTACGTTCACACCTACTTCGAAGTATCCGCCTTATAAAACCACTCAGTTACCGAATAGCTTACAGTCCCCCTATCTACACGAAGACAAATACTTTCACTCGACTGCTTTCAAGACGTGCGTCGAGCATCATCTTGCCGATTGGAGGAGCTCACTGTCGAGAAGAGAAAGAAAGAGGAGGATCTCCCAGGTACCCTTGCGCCAATTGAGGAGCTCAAGGCCCAGGTTGTGGCCAAGATGGGGCTGTGGGTCGTTAAGAACATGTACAGGATTCAGCAACGGTCTGTATTAGGCTGGGAAAAAAGATCTTAGACGACTGTATCGAGAACGTTTTGGTGGAGGGCTCGAGTAAGGCTCTGTGGTTGACCGGGATGATCTGAGGATCCGAGAATTGGTAGTCATGTGTAAGCTTATGTGATAGAATATCCAATCAAAAGATACGAACTTTACTCATCTTACTCCATCATCACCTTGAAGAGAGAGGCACTTTCCACGCTTGGCACTGACTTGGATACATTCAGTTTCGTACGAAAAAGTCCGATTTACATGAGTTATATCTTGGCTATGCTTTATCTTGAAGGCATACGCTGCGGTTAGCACTATGAAAGCAGAGGGCACGAAGTTTCTAATACCTTCAGGCAGACTTTGCGTAGTGGCGCGATGTGAGTGGTGAGGATCGAGAGTAGTTCCTTCCTCACGTTTGCTCTTTCCGCTTCGAGACATGACGCGACGCGACGCACGCGCCCCACACTTCGAGATAAATTGAATCTCTGAGATTTCTTCTCCTCTTCTTTATCTCTCTATAATGGTTGCATCACATTATAGTGCTCTAGCTTTTGCTATTGCTCGCGAAGATCATCGTCGCTCTTAACTGTAGCGCACTCGGTCCTGTGCTCTTAATTGTGAACCTGTCTAGCCAGGGAACGCGGCTCGCCGCAAACCCCGCCACCAGTGTCACCCTGTTCAGGGAGATGCGTGTGGAAGAAGCCTGCGACATGGAGCTCTCTTTTCTTCGGAAAAAAGTCTCTGACAGACCATTATGGTCCATGGCAATCATTTGCGCTACAGGCACCACTCTTGGTTGTAGCACGTTCCTCCAACGGCCTATTAACCTCTTGTCTGTCCTTGTGGCAGTAAGGGCTTTCTAGTGTGGTTGCACGTTTCCGTAGTGTCCTTGTGGCCCGGATTCGTTTTTTCTCTTACAACGGCCTATTGAGCTCTTATCTGTCCTTGTGGCAGTAAGGACTCTCTTGTGTGGTTGCACGATTCCGTTGTGTCCTTGTGATTCGGTTTCGTTTTTTCATTACTACTATTATGTCTTCCTACGACATTCATCTTTCGGTGAATCGGGCAGAAAGGCGAGAGCGACACCGCGTCTCAAATCGTGACAGGGCGGTATCGGAGCGCAATCGATCAGGAGATGGGAAGCTTGACTCACGAAACAGGCGAGAAAGGATGCGCCTGAACCACGGCACACCCGAAAGCAATGAAAAGAATCCAAAGCGTCACCTCTCCGGACCACCTGCTGAGCCACGAGCCTCCACTGAGACGGTTTCACTCACTCCCTCAAAGACCACCAATCTCAACGATGATATGGCAAACGTCAACAGAGCGACATCTTCATACTCTCCTTCTGTGGGAAGGACGACTCGCAGGAAGCTCGCCATGGTATGCACGCCGAGCAGTACATATTGCCTCAAATCAACTGACAAACAAACAGCAAACTGAGAGCATTCCCAGCAAACAGTTCGAAAACACACCGCCTTCCTTGCACGGTAGCGTGAATCCAGCCGTCCGACCCAGTCTCGTGGTCAAACTCAAGATCCGGAAGCCATCTGGGACCATGAACGTGGAAACGCGTAGGAAGCACAAATCACCGAGCAGCGATGCGATAACCAAGGATGACACTGCTATGAAGGAAGGTGCGGTTAGTCAGGGAACCAGCTACGTCAGGACCCATGAGCTGAGAAGGGAAACAAGAAGTACGACACTTGTGACCAGGCGACGGCAAGGCGATTTAGCAGCAGACGGAGCGCACAACGATACCCCGGAATCTCCGCAACCAAGGAGAAACTCTGCAGCGCGCCTGCGACGAGGAGCCATCGCCTACCCTGTCAAGCTCTCGGAAGCTCGTCTACGCACACCTACATCAGAATCCGGGGACGACATGTTCTCTGACCCGCCTGTCACTCTCAGTAAACCCTGACCGTTGTTGCCAGACACCAAGATACCAGTTTTGAAGCCTCCGACACCACTACAAGTAACCTCCGCTTCAACCTTTGCCCCTTATCCTCCAATGTCACCTCGTTCCGTGTCTCCTTTCACACGCGGAGCTCAAATCGCACTCGAAAACCTCTTGTCAGACCACCAGTCTGATCCTCTTGCCAGTTTGATCGATTTGGTGGAGGAACTGGACGATACAAGGCCGATCGTAAACGATTGGGAGCATGTTACTGTGATGAAAGGGGGTAGTTGGATCTATCAAGTGATGCGCGATGTTTGGGAGGAGGCTGCAAGTGAAACAGATGATGAGGATGACGAGATGAAGGATGAGGATATCGATATTGAAGATATCTTGGTGAAGGTTGCGAAATGGGTTGAGAGAGAGATGGAGAGGTTGCGTGGCAGTGAACAGGTATAGGCTTGGAGATTTATGATTAGTGCGGGAGAGGCGACGGAAATTGAAGCACGCATCATACTAAGTAGAAGGATATAGAGTTGATCAAGGTTGTCTTATACTGTGTATCAAGATTGTTCAGGCCAGCTGAGAACCAACCCTGTGTATTGTGTAGTTGCTTTCGAGGCTTTTTCGTCCATCCGCCTTCTACAGCGCTAATCTCAAACACCAAGGCGTAAACCTCGTGTCTGCCATCTTAGTTTGCTCTTCTTGTGAACTTCAAGTGTATTTTCTTGGCTATCCATGCTCGAGCTCGCGACATGTGCTATGGATGTGTTCTACGGTAATTCTATGTGTTCGTCTTGTCTTATTGTTCTCATGTCGGAGCCGACCGCTTTCCTGCCATGGAACGAGCCAGGCGCGGAGTATGCCTCGCACAAAATTGTAATCGGTGCATGGACCATCCGGGGCGTTAAGGATCTCTGGGGCCAGGATGTGAATCTGGGCCCGCGTGGACTCTTGCTTTACAATCGATAACAATGCCCAATCCGACAGCCACTGGACGAACCTGCAGGACGTGATCGACATGATCGACATGCCAAAAGACTTCCAAACGCGGAAGCCAAGCCGGAAGATGATGTTTCCAGCGGAATGAAGGACGTGTTGGGTCATCGCGGATCGAGATGTCCGCCACCCAACCGGGTTGTTGTCGGCTCCACATCGCCTCGCATTCGTATTCGTACACCATAGCAGTTGGAATAAGACGAGTCGTGTAAAATTTTCTGGGGTGTTTTTGTGAGCGCACATTGTCTGCACTCCCTCAGTATGTCTGCTGCAATTGAGGTGGGCGGAAGAGTTGATGACTCTGTTCGATCATCATCTCGATGTTCTTTGCCTCGTTCATCTCGAAGTCATGCATCAACTCCATCTGTTGCTGCTGGTTTAGTCCGGTGCCCCTAGTATCCTGACTCCAGGCCGGATTGAGATAATCTGCCATCTCATAACCCTGGTTTGCCGCATAGGCCTCGTTGTAAAATGGCGAAGCCATTTGCATGTTCGTCATGTTGTAACCATCTTGCGCCGGCATCGTGAATGTTGGGTTCCACTGAGGTAGCTCAGCAAACGTTGTAGGTAGAGGCGCGAATTGAGTCGTAGGTGCGTAGCTGTATGAGGGCATGCTGTTCTCCATGGACGTCTTTGGACTTAGTTCATTGTATGCCATTGGTGGAGCTTGCTGAGGTGACGTCTGCAATCCAGCTTGTTGCGCGCTCGGCGCACTTGAGAACGGATTGGGCGGATTTGAGAGGCCGTTGGTAAAGTTGAAGAGTTGTTGATTATGTTCGGGTAGGAAGCCGAAAGGTCCTGATACCTTTTCGGAAGGTGTCCGTACCGACGAGGTAGACGCCGTTGCCGGGCTTGTAGTTCGCGATCGGTTGATACCGTCCACAATGTTGCCAGTGCCGACAGATGCAGTGTCAGATGGAGAGCTGGCTGAGATGGGAACGTCGCCGTCCTTGTCGAAGATCTTCATGCAAGCAGATATCAAGTTGTAGTACAGACCAATAGCAGACTGTACGCCGGGCCATCTTTCGGAAGCCTGTCTGATTGACTCCATTGCCACTTTCAGGTGACCCTCTACTTCCTCGCGGCTATGACGTCTTCGCACTTCAGAGTATGACAGTGTCCAGAGCATGGTGTTGATGCACATGAAGATAGACTGCGTAAAAATCCATGTGACATCGACACTCTTGGTCTCAATCTGCTTCATGGTCATGTAGATATTATATTGGCAAGCATCGTAACAGCGGATGGCGGCGTCCAGGGATGGGCGAGGAACTTGTGGAGACGGACGGTACATGAATACGACCATGGTGTTGTATCGACCAATGAACCTATGCGACTTAGTTGATGTACCATGCATGACGGCGCCAATACTTACCAGACCTTGTTAAGTCCCGATCCGCCGTCCATCTCAGGACTTGTGTCTCGCCAGGCCTCGATCTTCGACAGCATCTGAGCGAACCAGGGGTGCTGGTCGTCTTTGGGTTCGGGTTTCTTTCTTTGATAGAGCATTTTGCGGATCTCTAGTTGCAGCAATCGCATCTTGTAGAAATGTATTCCAATCCACTTCTTGAGCGATGCTTGAGGTGCAGGCTTAATTCCCTCCCTAGTGATGTAGACATCGTCGACAAGCTCGCCAAAGTTCACATCGATGTGTTCTCGTCGTGTTGCAAAATGGGCAGGTCTTCCTAGACTATGCGACAAGCCGTAATCCATAGTCAGTATACTCCAGAACAACCGGCGACGCATGTCGATTTCGAGTGGGTCTGCAGAGCGTCCGCCGGGGCCCATGCTGATTGTCTTCTCCTCATGTAGGCCGAGGGCTTGACACAGCCGTACACCAAGACCGATGATGTAGTAAACGGCCGTCCTCGTTGGCGTTAGGAGTGAATAGCCTGCAACCAGGCCAAAACACTGCAGAGTCTTGAGATTCATTGGCTTGATGGCAGCCTCGAAGTATTTGAGGGCTGCGAGATAGTAGCTATCAGCGAGACCGGCGTACTGTGTATCCATCTTCTGCAGACTGATGGCGATGACCATGCGCAGACAGTAATTCTGGTACGGGTCGGTGGAGCCATTATAGACCTCATCGACGTCTTTGGTGAAAGTTGGCTCGTGGAAGATTGGATACATGGGGTGCACTAATCAAGTCAGTTCGTGTATGGGTCATACTGAGACAACCGTACGCGCCTTTGCAGTAAAACAATTCTACCAGTAGATTGGTCAGATCTCTGTTGGGAAGCTCTTCAGCAGCGACGTCGCTGACCATGGGGTAGATTTTGGAGGTGGGTCGCTGGTCTTCCTGGGCGAAGGTGTCCTTGACATTCTTTGCTTCGGCATGTGGCACAATCTCGGATATGCTCTTGGACTCTGTGAACTGCTTGGCCAGCTGCATGACCAGGCGGGTGATGGTGATTCCACTTGAAGGTCCCAGGAATTTGGACTCGTCAGAATCCTGGACACGGACTGTAGCGGCCCCACGCATCACATCTTCAGGGTCCGGCTCGACGTCGTCGCGCTCGAGATCAGCCAGCTGCTTCTCGAGGTCGCGCACCTTCTGCTGCAGGTGCACAACATAATTCCGGGGGATCTTGCGTCCCTTGGTGGGGTCATAGTACTCGCAGTGGGAATTGGTGCGCTCGCATGGCCCGCATCGAGGGAGTCCGGGATCGCATCTTGTCTTGCGCTGGGCCAAGGTCAGTGGACAATTACGTAGCCAGCGAGACGGGAGAGGGTGCTTACCGTCCGGCAGCGACAGCAAGCTGTGAGGGTGTGGGCGATGCGACTCTGGCCCGTGGTGGTGGTTCCTTCCTCAGACGGGTGCGGGGCCCCTTCCGTCTTGGTGTGTGTCGCAGTCGCGACTTCCATCGCTCGTCTCTCACCAGGCGGGCGGACAAGGCGAGGACGAGGGAGCTGGCTTATGATGCTCGGCGGCCTGGGATGTGGGGGAGATCGCCGCGCACGTCCATGCCCGAGAGGTTTGTCGCGCCGGCGAGGAGTGGTCCTGTGCTCTCAGTTCGGAGAGAGATGTCGAGGCGGAGATGGGGGAGAGTCGAGCATACGACAGCGGCACCTAGTCTACGGGACGGCCAAGCAGTCACCTTCGGAGAGTCGACCGGCAGGAGTTTCTTTAACCAAAAGAACAAAGCGCGTCGTCGTCGTATGGGCCACAAAAAAACGCCTGCGCATTACCGAGCGTCCCCAATCAGGCGGCGCAAAAAGGAAGACGAAGCATGACACGCCCCGTCGTTGGTGCGGCGTAGGCTGATGTGGTGACAGGCCGAGAACGTGTCCAAACTCTGGGAGCCGAGAGACTGACGTGCAGCGTGGGCATCGTCTGCAACGGCGCCCTGATAGGCTGCCCCTTCTCCCAGCACCCGCTCTAGCACTTGCCTATCTTCATCTCGTCGCTCGTGTCAGCGTCACAGCTGTCCCTTTCTGCATTGTCTTCTTGCTGCTCGAACTCAGCGGGGCAACACCGCCGTCTGCTGCCTCCCAATTCGTCCATACAGCCGCGGCACTGCGACCGTCAAGGGTTCAGCGAGCCCGCTACGCCACCCGTCAACCCGTTCAACACCACGAGAGCGCCAAACCACCATATCCATCGCTTGCTGCACCGCCTTTTCGGCAACCTGGTCCGCGGAACGCATTTTCTGCATCGCCGCGCTATTCCCACAACGTCGACTCGACCGAGCCTGGTAAGTACCGTCCCGTCTCGTATCGGTCGTAAGGCGAGGCACCTCTTCACTCCACTGCCGCCCTCACCATGTAGTCTACATCCATATCCATGCATTGTGTCTAGTGCTCTTTTCGTTCAGTCCCTGCGCCTGTTCTTTCCATGTCATTCTCTATTTGACTACGTCTCGGATGGTTATCCACCCAGCGTCAGGTGATCGTGCGATGCATACTTACTTGTCCCATGATAGCAGGAAGATGGTGCTGGAAACGCCATTATTACGGGTGAGCAGGCCAGTCGCCGCTTGTTCGCGATGTCGAGCAGCAAAAGTCAAGTGCGACGGTAAACTGCCCGCATGCACAGCATGCGAAAAGTCCAATCGGGCCTCAGAGTGCTCGAGCACCAACGACCAGTTTGCGAGAGGCAAGGAAAGGAGCTATGTCGCGACTCTCGAGTCTAGAGTTGAGAAACTAGAGAAGAAGATACATGAAGCCCGTGCGAGGCGCAAGTCTTCTGGCGTTCTGATGTTGGACATGTCTGAGAACTCGACCCCACGTAGAGCATCTGTCGATACCGTAAAGGCAACGAGACCCATCAGCAAGAGGGCTGAGAGACGTAGGGAAGCCTCAGAAATCGACGACCTCGTTTCAGATTTTGGTCTCCTGTGAGTGCTACCCATTAATCCCGGTGTGTTGTACTAACTCTCCAAGCGCCGTGAATGCTACTGCAAGAGACTTCTATGGCTTCACAACAGAGATGTCTTACGCCCGCTTGATTCGATCGGCCAGCGCAAAAGAGCCACTCCCAACCGGCTTGATCAAAGCATTGCCTCCAAAATACGCAGCAACACCACTGATTCAACATTACTTAAATAACATCTTCACCTTATGGCCAGTCTTTGAGGAAGCTACTCTTTACTCTTCCGTAGAGGCCGTCTATTCACAGGGCGACAATGCAAAACCCTGGGATCGCTGGAGTGTGCGTATGGTTTTGGCTATCGCCTGTCTCTCCCAATCTGAATCGAGGGGTGATACACATTACTCCGATGCTGTTGGCCACATGAATGCGGCTCTTGAGAATGCCGAAGATGTACTACATCCTGGTTACGTCTCCAGTATTCAAGCTTTGATACTCTGGACCATCTACGCCACTATGGATCCCCATCATTTTGACAGTTGGACACTAGTCGGCGCAGCTTCCAGAGCAATGGTAGATCTCGGCATACATCAAGATCCGTCCAAGACTGTTGCAATGTCACGGCCGAAGCTAGAGATCAGGAGAAGAGTATATTGGTGTGTATACTCTTTGGATAGGTAAGTCCATGTTCCCTCTTCTCCTTCTTTCTTGCTAACCGCCCGGTAGATCGACATCGCTCGTTCAGACTCGCGCCTTCTCGTTCTCAGACGAGGCTGCGAATGTCGGCTTTCCATTCCACAACGCTTCCATCTCACCAAAGTTTGCTTCGCCTACATCTCAAGTCTTCCAACAGTCTTTCGATACAGCTGTCGATCTCTTCAGGATACGAGAGATTCAGTCAGAGTGGTATATGGACCTTTTCCAATCTGGACGGGAGCCTTGGCAAGAGCCATATCAATACATCTGGAAGCAGTATAGCAAGATGTCAGAGTGGTTCCAAGACATGCCTCAGAGTACTCTTCCTGCCGTCAAGTCATTCTTCGAGCTCGAACTTCTCTACAGCTACGTCTATATTCTCTCGCCAAGCCCGCGGATACCTCATATTCACGAGTATGCTCAGCGTTTGATTTTCGAACATTGCATTGCATACGCTACGAACCTACTCGCCATACTGGACAAACCTTCCAACACTGTGAAGCCTCCAGTCACCTTTTATGACGCTATGCGCGCTTACATGACAGGCCGGCAGTTTGTGGACGTTCTGTCACGCAACATGGAGATGATCCTTGACCCAAGACCACCGGTACCTCCAACGCCACTGGCTCCTCAAACAGAATCCGAAGATCCCCTGGCACCACCTGCGCAGGTCAGCGCACCACCATTCCCATCACCACTACTTCCTGAAGGACAGATGCTGCCATTAGACCCCACCACTCGTGCCATCAACGCTATCCATGACTTCACATCAGTACTATCCAAATTTGGCCTAAGGTTTGGCTTTACCCACTGGCGTGATCGGTTCCAAAGAGAGTCCGCTGCTCTATCTGCACAGCTTTACCAACGCCAACAAACATCACCGCACACTTCGCCTCCAGTACAACAAATTCCACCACCTGTTACCTACCCTCCACAATGGGTACCGATGCCATCGGTATCTCCACAGGCGCCACAACTCATGTACCCAGGAGGCCCAACAACACCACCAAGTCTGTTCCCGCAATCTAGTCCTTTCGCAAGTTCCATGTCATATAATGGCACTTCGTACGACGGATCCGGTCATAGTCCCCAACCACACGGTATGACATTCGACGCGAGCCCTGGCCAACAGACATGGACAACTCCGTCACCTCAGCCGCTACCTGAGTTGCCACAACCATCCGGCGGCCAGAAACGAAGAGCTATGGTATATGGCCCAGGTTTACCAGCGCCGCAGTCCGGACAAGGTCACAGTCCTGGTGCGTCGTCGATATCTGGGCAGGATAGCAATGGATGGCCACAACAGGAGCAACAACAACAAGATACAAACGGCTACTTCCAAGCGCCACCTTCTATGCCGCACCAGCATAGCAATTCATGGACACAGGATCCGTCGCAAACCAGCTGGGGGTAATAGAGGGACTTTCACAGGGTGACAAGGTAAAAGAACGGCATGCCAACGGCAAACAACATTTCTAGGAAGCGGAAGTCGTGCTCAAATAACGTTAGCCTGTATATTTGGTACGAAGACAGCTAGCATACCACATAGTATACTCGTGGTAAACGTATGAAACGATTCATGATGATATCACAGACTGACTGAATCCTCCATTGCGCCAGTGATCCAGTGCCAGCGTTTTCAGATTGCGAGCACATTCTGTAAAGGAAGTGGCATTCTTTGTCAGTGATTTCCACAATCTTCGAAAACGTCTCAATTACCCATTGCTAACATCCTCGCAATCCACAGAAACAGCCTCCGAGTACACAAGATGAAAGCCAAAAGAATTAGTATCACATAAAGAATTGCTTGTGAGAAAAGGATTAACGGTAACAAGCATTGCACCTAAGACAATGCCATGTCTAGCTTGCTCTAGGAATCGCTTGACGCGCCAAGGAGCGTAAGTCGAGCATATTGTCGCGCCGTGGCAAATGCGCATATGTTCATGGAAGTCACTTTTGTCAGCGAAAATATCCTGTGTACATTCTCGCAGCTTGTGGAACTCCGCGTGTTTACGCATGTCATCTATGTAGCCCCTACCCGGAGCTGTCAGGTCAGGGACCGGATATCCCGTCCCACACAGGCGACAGGAGATGAAAGGCGGATTGTCCACGGTCTTATTGCGTTCGAATAGCGCATGCCAGTCGTGGATATGACGACAAGAGTAGGTTCGACATTCTTCGTGCTGTTCAAAGGCTACTTGTATGTTTGCGAATGTACTGATGCAACCTGAACAGGTATAGGGACCAGCACTGCTCTAATTTTAGCTCAGACCCAATGCTGGGTTTTTCTATGTACTTACCATGGAATTCTCGTTGGTATGAACGGTAGTCTCAATGGCCACCACGCAGCTTTGCATATGCCGTCGATGAGATGATCAAAGACATGTGCTTGTCTCTGCGACCAAGTATCCATGATCATACCACAGAAACCGCAGATAAGAGCTGATGGCAACAAAGAGGGGTTGTCTTTTTTCCACGCCGAGAGAACGTCTTTGGGTATCGAACTCTTGCCGCCCCCTTTATCAAGATGAACTCCTTTGATATGTTGCGAGAGTTGGTCTTCTCGCACAAAAGTCCGACACTCTTCCGGCTTTTCCGCACAGCTACTGAAGTGGCATTCGACAAGGTGGCTCAAAAGAATGTCGCGTTCGCCGCAAACAAAACATCTTGGTAACCGCATGGCTATCTTTACGTCTAGACAGCAGATCCAATAGTAGGGGCAATGATGGATGGCTTCCTCGTGTCGTGCCCACGCGGAACGATTCGGGAAGGATTTGTTGCAGCTAGACCAAGTGCAAAAGTACGAGCGGGTACTTCGTAACGTAGGAACGTTCGAATTCTGTCAAAAGTATTAGATTGTTATAGCGCTGATACCCCCAAATCGTGCTTACAGGAACGATTCACTCACCTGTTTTTCATGCAAAGAGCTTCCATTTGACTGCTTGTGAGTACTTGCTAGAGTTATCTTCCGTCGATGCGCCTCGGGCGGTAATGGTGGTTGTGTCCAACGCTTACGACCACGACGAGAACCCCTTGAATCGACAGAGATATGGCTGCATGAACTTCTGACGCTGTTACGAGAACCAACTGAGCTGTTTGAGCCCGCCGTACTGAAAGCACGCATTGGAGACTGCTGCCTAGACTTTGAGATTGTGTTGCGACGTTTGGATGATTGCGCGTCAACAAGTGGTGCAAGTAGGAAATGGTCGGCTTGTAAGGCTGATTCGATGACTAAAGTAGGAACTGAGTCCTGATCTGCGGTCTGGTTCACATATCTCTCGAGTGAGGCTACGCTGGGCGCAGGGGAGCATCGATCCAAGTCCTGAAGACTATCTCGACCAACGACAGGCTCCAGCGACAGACTACGTTCGGGTCGCTCATGAAGTTCTTGACTATCCACGTTTGTATCTGCGTCGGCATTGTCTACAAAAGTATTATCAGCACCGTTCAAGATCATGAACCATCAATATCGGATGACGAGGGTCAAGTATAGTTGACTTGGTAACAAGACCATGAGCTTTCTTACCTTCTGGCATAGTCTTGCGTGCCCTTGCATTCACGAACCACCTTTTGATGACTGATACAGGCAATCCAGTCTTTCCGGATAGTAGAACCAGCTCACCATCAGTCGGATAAGCGCTATTATCGAAGTGCGCGTCCAACACAACGCGGACTTCGTTCGAAATCTTGGTCCTCTTGGATTTAGGTTTGTCAGAAGTCGAACGCTTTGCGGGCCTTTGATGATAAGCCCTTGTCGGTGGTGATTCTTCGCTGAGACCCAGTACGGTTTTGCCTGTAGGGAACAGGCAGGAACCATTTGCTGACTCAGTTTTAGTCTCCTGTTCATCTGTAGCCACTATGTTCACTCTCTCCGAAGCTCCATCCTTCAGAAGATCCGATGGACAATCCAATCGGTTTAATGACGGCATGCGGGGGGTGGGTAGCCCAGCAAGACTTAAAGTATCCAAGTCGACATCAGCATTGCAACCAGCGCTGTCGTCAAATGAGGTAACGCCTGCGTTGAATTGTGTATGCGAGCTGTTGGGACCTGGCAAAACCTCATCAACCATGAAAGCTGATAGCCATGATTCGTCGAAATCTAGTATAAAGCCTTCGTCGTATTGTGGTAGAGGTTCCTCGGTGGTGTGAAGTGTGAACCAATCGTTCAAAGCCCCTACGCCAGTCGACGCCTCCCAGCCTTGAGACATGTAGCATACGAATTCGAGATTGGAGATACTCGGATGAACAATTAAGCAGACAAACGAAGACGGAGGTGTAGGTGTGAACAGGAGGTGTGTGAGGCATGGCGTAAACTTCTCGGTCACTGTGTTAATATATGGTGAGGCTGAGAAACAAGGTGAGCGGGTTGATTTTCGAGGTTAGAAGGGGCGGAGCAGGGGGGTTGTATCTGCCCAATCGGATGAAGCGAATGCATCTACGCCTGTTATGCAAGATACCAGGGCGAAGACGACGCGACTAGTATGCAGGAGCCCATGCATTTGCATAAGACGCAATGGTGCAGCGGGTTTATAGCAAAGACGTCGAGATAGACGGTGAAGACGCTGCGGCTATGATGCGAAGATCGACAGGGCATACAGACAGGGTACCACCAAGCAAACCCCCCACTCGACGCGGGGCATCTGCCGCTATCTCTGCGCAACACCTATCGACCAATCTCACACCAGACAAAATGCCTTACAACACTCTCGCGCACCCATCGCAACATTGTGCGTTACCCCCAAGATCCTTGCCACCCACTTGAGCCACCGTCACGATGTCGACACCCTTAGAACGCGCCCTGACAGCCATCGACGCCGCCCACGCGCTCGACCCAAACAAAGTAACCATCAACAATGAAGAAATGCCATACGAACTGCACTACGCGCAGAAATGCACTTCCTACCTCGAGAAACGCGCCCCTGATGCCTCAGAACCCCTTCGCATAGCAATCCGCGCCCAACACTTTCGCCGATGGGAGGTACCACGATCCAGCTACCCAATGACACGCCCCGGCTACCACGCCTGGCGCACCTACCTCAAGAAACGACAAGCCGAACTTGTTGAGCAAATATGCCTAGATTCTGGGTACAGTAAAGAAGACAGCGAGACAGTGGGCAGTTTGATACGGAAAGAGGATTTGAAGGCCAACGAGGAGACAATGGTGTTGGAGGACGTGGCTTGCCTAGTTTTCTTGGATGACCAGTTCGAGGCGTTTGAGAAGGAACATGATGAGGATAAGATTGTAAGGATATTGCAGAAGACGTGGGGGAAGATGACGGATCAAGGGCATGAGTTGGCGTTGAAGATTCCTATGGGAGAGAGGCCTATGGAGTTAGTGAAGAAGGCGCTGGCAGGGTAACACAGTTGTGAATTTGAATATTGAATAAAGTGGTGATTTTCATCTATTATTCGTGACGTGAATTTGATCGTTTTGGGTATCGTTCTGAGCCTGTGATATATCCTCCCCTCCTCTTATGGTTGACATGTTGAAGCCTAAGCCCCACCCTCCCTCTTAGCGTACTCCTCCTCCATCGCCTCCTCGTATCGTCGCTCGGCTTCCTTCTCCTGCTCGGTTTTCTCACTGTGGGTCGCGCTCGCTAGAGCTTGCGTAGCCGCATTCTGTACGTTGTGCGCCGTCTGCGCAGCAGCTGAAGACTGCGTCGCTGGGGTGGATTGTGAGGTGGTGGAAGGCATGGGGACAGGCATTCTGGCTGTCGCTGGTTGTTGGTGAATGTGTCGTTGAGTGGTATGTTACGACGTCTGGTTTGGGAGATTGAATGATACTGAGAGTTTGCAGGTAACGATGAGAAAGGCTTGAGGAGTGCGTGGTGGCTGGTATATAGACACATAGCGTTGCGTCATTGTGGCGGTGCAGCTGTGGCTGGAACCTTCTACGACATGTGATTCGCCACTGATTATCGAGGATCAATCATCGCACGTGAAGACAGTTTGCACATAAGGAATGCACGTTCATTTCGGCAGTCCGATACGCGTAAACATGGATGGGATTGGTTTCAATTCTTTTCAGTAAGAGCTGAAGTGATGGCGTGTGTAGACACGCAAGGCCGTTAGGGATCCTCAACCTTTCCTCACGGTCATCGTATTTAGAGCTTCTTTCCCTACGAGATGCTGCGACTAGAACCTACACCATATTTCATTCAGGCGATGTATGCCGTCAAGACTACTGCAGTATCCATACAAAGGTCTCTTCATCTTAAAAGAGTCGCGTAGTTCTGGACCGTCATGCCGGCCAGTAAGTATATCAGCCCCAGTAGAGGATTTGCCATTTGATGCAAACCTTTGGCCTTCTCAGTCGAGTGCGACAGATTTAAAGAAGGCCCACATCGAAAACGGCTCATCTGGACCAAGGTCATTTGGCCTGCTTTATCTACTCTTGTTATTGCTCTCATTGGGGGCTACGTCATCTACTTTGCATTTGGTATCGATGATTCCTGCTGCAATGAACTTACATGACTTGATGATGGCTTCCACCGTCCTTACGTCACATACTCTGACTTGAGTAGAGGTTGACATTGATTTGCTCGAAAAGAAAGGTGATGGAGGTCATGGCGAAGGCCGTCATGGTTCTGGTGATCATATTCCTGGCGGCGATGGTTTTAGCGGACATGGAGGCCATGATGGTGTACGGCCTGACGGAAGCGCCTCTGCCAGACAGAAAAGCACTGGTTCAAACTTCACCGTTTCAACGTTTTTTTTCGCATTCTGGTTTGGATGGCGCTTCGTACGGTTGCGGCTGCGCTTATGAAGTCGCAATTTGTGTCGATCGGGCTACCTCACGATCGGTGCATCCTTGCCTGTCGGCATTCGAGTTTTGAGTGGTCGGTCGGAGATGGTGAATGGATAAGGTGAAGATTAGCGGATAGTCGTTTCATTTTCTTCCTTCCTAAGCTTATTTAGGATGAGACGATGTCACGCAGCATACAAATACCAGGCGATAGACAGACCGATATGACTAGACAGTGATGGGCATACTGTTTGTTGTGTTAGTGAAAGCATAGTACAGTACCCAAGATAACACAATGATATTGACAAGGCTCAGACTTGCCTTTTCTGAAAACGAATCAACGACACCACGTGCTTGAAGGTTCGCCCATCCATCAATAGATAGGACAGCCCAGAGGATATACACCGGTGTCTCAATCGCTTGCTCGGTTTGTAATCATTGCCAAAGGAGAAAGATGAAGATGACTAACCTTATTGACTTAGAACATGTGTGCCCTTCGTTTTGCCTGTCTCCATTTTGGCAGTGCGAGCGCCGAATTGGATCGCACGCTTCTTCTCCGCAGCTACTCTTTTCATGCCCAATTGCCAGGCCAGCAATCGAAGAGCGCGCTTTCCGGGCTCGAGGAACTGCATAGGATCTTCACTATCAACCACTTGCGCCAGGCCGAAATCGCACTTGGCTGTCACCGGAAGACTCAGCGCTAATGCGATGAAGTCTTCATCGAGGAACGGAAATCGAACTTCCCTACTGCTGTCGCTGATAACTCGATCGTCACGACCCAGGTTCCTTTTTCCTAGTCGACTGAAGTCAAGCTCCAGCTCTTCGATCAGGCCGGGGTATCCGTGCCGAGCAAAAGCTACTGCATGTCGTTGATACCCGCCAAAAAGCTCGTCAGCCCCCAATCCGGATAGGAGGACGTGTGCGTTGGTGGTATATGGCTCGGCGTGAGCCTTGTCTGAGAGGTGCGCTAGACCATTCCCGCGTGAGGCGAAATACAGCGCGATCGAAATGGAAAGGTCCATTTCTGTATTGTGCGGATGCATTAACGCCATGACAGTGCTACGGTGGGCTTGCGTCTCGGTGTAGGGCACGTTGACTTCGACGAAGCGCCACTCTCGCCCTGGACAGACTTCTATGAGCTCGGCGTGTGACGATCGTCCAGTGATACGGTCCGGGCAAAGCTCGTACGGACTGGTTCCTGACTCGAGATTGGAATGGATTCGAGGGTTCTCAAAAGCGACATTGAGGAGGTCGATAGATTCGCTGAGCGGTAGGAGGTCGTGACACATGCGCGCGAGGATTGTGCAGTCAAGGCCACCAGAGAAGAGGATGCCGACCTGTGCGTCCTTTGGAGCTCCCAGCGTCGCATTGCTGGTCACTGCCTCTCGTATATGCTGAGTACGCAATTTGAGCGACCTTTCCAACGATAACCTCAACTGCTCGGTCGCGTCCGTGTTCTGTGTTGCAGGCTCGATGTCTACAGTTGGATTCATAGTGGGAAATGGCAGGGTCTGAGTCTGTTAGCAGGACTCGCGCACCAGATGACCTACCTACGAAAGATAGTCCAGAGTCCTCTTTCGGGTCTGAGCGGCGGTGCGGAATCTTTGTAACTGGCAACGACTTCGACGTCGAGTCTGCGGCATCGACATCTAGGACATAGATGCCATCGGCTTCCACTTCAGTCCAGGACTCACCAGAAGCGTTATCGCAAACGCTAGACAACACAAGTGTGCCGTCTGGAGTTGACTTTTGGAGCAGCGATCGTCGTCCCAGACAGTCGCGTCCATAGTAGATGCGATTGTTAGGTGCATCGAAGAAAACAAGGGCATACGGGCCCCGCACGCCTGAAAGCAGCTGAATGACGCTTTTAATGGATGTCTCGCCTGTACTGGCGCACGCATTCAAGAGCTTAGTGAAGATAAGCTGAGAGTCATTGCCATCAATGGCATGTCCAGCAATGCTCCATGCTTCGCCATTCCAACAAAGAACGGAGCCAGTGGCGACGTCTTTGAGAGGTTGCTTGACAACGTCGTTGCCGCGTAAAGCAAGGACCGTTGACAGGAAAGTCGCGTGAAGACGCGTTGAAGATGCCTCGGGGCTGGATTCGATGACAGTTTGATGCTGCCCTGTGCTATCAGGCCCTCTGTTCTGGAGCAGTTGCTGAGTATTCGTGTCAGGCGTCACATGTCCAGCTCGGCTGAGCGAGAAGAAGATGCCGCACATGGTCGGGCTGGTGTTCGCGGTGGAGAAATGGTTTTGGCAACGGCACGTTTGCCATTGCTTGACGCGCTAGTGGGGGCCGCTCGGAGACTCGGCTTCTAGATGCCGGGAGACCATGTGGACGATGCGCAGGTGCAGGCGCAACAGACGACCACGACTGAGACAGTTGACATATATATGCCCTGCTAGAGCTATTTCGAGCTCCATAGAAGACCCATGGACACTTGATCAACCACCTATCGCCTCTCCACAATCCCCAGTCGCAGTCGGTCTATGTCTCCCCCGAACTCAACTCCGCAACACGATGCAGCCCAAGACAGCAACGCCGAAGCGAAGCTAGAGAAGGTCGATGACCAACAAGATGTGGCCACGATGAACGAGAGCGCGCCTCTATCCGGACAGGCCACAGATCCAACGGATTTGGCAGACGACACGAATACCACGACCGGCGCGGGGCAGCCAGTCGAGATGAAGGCCCAAGACGAGGGGCACGTATCGAAGGAAGGGTCGTCGGAGATGGTAGAGAAAGTGCACGAGACCCCGGAGGAGTCGAAGGCGACCCCCGCTGGTGCAGAAGTCGACCAGAGTAAAGATATGGAGGCTGTGCAGACATCGTCTACGGCGCCAATCGAGGAGCTCACCACCAAGACAGAGACTGTAGCGCTGGACCGCGCATCAACACCACCACCTGAGCTCAGCGAGAAATCGGCGGGCAAAGCACCTATACGATCACCTTCGCCTCCCCCTCCACCGCCCAAAGACGACAGATACCTCACGACGAGTAACGTACCTAGCCGAACTACTTCCCCAATGTCGCAAGAACGATCAAGTGGAAGAAATTCCGAAGACGCTGCGGCTGACGACTATGCTGCGAACCATGACGGCACAGGAGACGCTGTGGATAACTCGCGGGAGGAGATACAGAGCATCATGGATCAGTTCGAGGGGGATGGTGGGCCTGGCGAGACTGAGATCATGTCTCCCAGACTGGAGATAGCGACCCCCATGTTAGAGTCGCCTTCAACTCCCTACCCACCCCGAAGGTCAAGTCTTGTGCCGCTCGACAAGCCCTTGCCTATTCCGGCCGACGATGCGGCTTCGATGACTTCACTTCAGTCTCCACCTCCTCGCACTTCCTCTCTACACCGCGTTGGCACTGGTACCTCCTTTGCAGAACCGACCTCGCCCAGCGCACATGCTTCCAAGTACAAGCCAGCGCAGCCAGCACCAGAGCCTGAGCCAGACCTACCCTTCGACTTCCACCGCTTTCTCGAACAGCTCCGTCACCGGACCGCAGACCCTGTCGCCAAATTTTTGCGCTCTTTCCTCTTGGAATTCGGGAAGAAGCAATGGATGGTACATGAGCAAGTCAAGATTATTGGAGACTTCCTCGAATTCATCAGCAAGAAGATGGCACAATGCGAGGTATGGCGGACGGTGTCCGACGCCGAGTTCGATAACGCAAGAGAAGGCATGGAGAAACTAGTCATGAATCGGTTGTACACTCAAACATTCTCGCCCGCAATCCCACCTCCAGAGCCTGCATCACCACGCAAAGGTCGACGGAGACAAGAGCCGCCAGGACCAGGCCGAAGAGGTCAGCATCAAGAAGACGTAGAGCGAGATGAGGTCTTGGCGCAGAAGGTGCGGATATACAAATGGGTCAGTGAAGAGCACTTGGATATCAAGCCTGTAGGTGAGAAGGGCAAGAAGTTTCTACATCTGGCCCAACAAGAGCTGTTGAAGATAAAGAGCTATCGAGCACCCAGAGACAAGATAATCTGTATCTTGAACTGTTGCAAGGTCATCTTTGGATTCTTGCGGACATCAAATTCCGATCAATCTGCCGATGCCTTCGTACCGCTTCTCATCTATACGGTACTGCAAGCGAACCCCGATCATCTTGTCTCGAACGTACAATACATTCTGCGGTTCCGTAACCAGGATAAGCTTGGTGGAGAAGCAGGTTACTACATATCATCCTTAATGGGCGCCATCCAATTCATCGAAGGTCTTGACAAGACGTCTTTGACCGTGACTGATGAGGAATTCGAGAAAAACGTTGAAGCGGCCGTCTCAGCCATCGCTGAACGCCATGCAGCCGAGGAAGCCGAATCCTCGTCTTCATCTGCGTTACTACACCCTACTGCGCCTAACCATAAACGTATGCCCTCACCTCACTATCATCACATAGCGGAAAAGACGACACCATTACGGCCGGAACTCACACAAAGAAACTCGATGGAGGCAGAGACTGCAGGGCCACGACGGTCGACCAGTCTAAAGGATCGCAAGTCTGAGGCGGAGCAGCCAGAAGAAGAGAATGCCGCTGTCGCAGGCCTATTGCGCACAATACAACGGCCACTTAGCACTATTGGTCGTATCTTCTCGGACAATGATACCCACCATCCATCTGGACCTGCGATAGCCCAGAAACCGCATTTACCGCCACGCGCGTCAACGGAGTTTCCCGGTCAGGCTCCTCAGTCTAACATGAACGAGAAGCAACGACCATCGCATGAAGACGACCGACAAAGGCAGAGGTTGACGGCAGAAGATGTCGCTGCGCGACAGGCGTCAGCTGAAGCAGAGGAAGCGAGGCGCATACAACGTCAGGAACACAAGGTCGTAGTCGAGACGCTGACAGGCATGTTTCCCCAGCTGGACCGGGACGTCATCGACGACGTGGTGCGGCAGAAGGAGGGTCGGTGAGTCTTGTTCGAACGCCTCTAAATGATACCATGAAGACTAACAAACATCTAGTGTTGGTCTTGCAGTTGACGCATGTTTAGCGCTAGCGAATCCCTGATACATATATTCATAGGTTCATGGTCGAGTATTGATAGACCTCTGACCTTCTGATATGAATGGATGTTTGTATCTCAAACCATGCTATTGGTTCAACTCAGGGATAAGATAGAAAGCAATTGTACCATTGCTTTAGCTAACGTCTTAGCGCAGTGATAACAGATATCACTTTCTGCTATTCGCTTACACTACCGCCAGCTTGCAGAGTTAGGGGTAACTATAATGTTCACGCACAGGTTATGATAATATCTCCAGGACTGTCTGAGCACGCTGTCGTTGCCGTTATATTTCGAGGCCATAGCAGATGGGTCGAGATGTACTATTCAGCAAAGACCATGCTCGAAGGCAGTGACTGCCTTCTGATCCTTAGGCTATGGTGTTCTGGTCAGAGCTACCCACCTTGCATGCTCGCTTCGCCACCAACAGTACCGTAAGCTGGATGTTGACATTGTCACTGTAGGTCACTCACAAAGCGAAGAGTCTTTTGAAAAAATTAAATTAAAAGTCGTATCTCGAATCTTGACAGTCGTCTAATCCAGGGTCCAAATAATAAAGCGTCCATGCTGCTTCAACTGAAGCAGTTTAAGCATCGTAGGTTCCGTTGCCTCCAGCGCCGGCACCAGCTCCAGCACCAGCACCAGCGTTTCCTCCAGCTCCAGCACCGGCACCAGCACCGGCACCAGCGTGACCGCCGACACCAGCTCCAGCACCTCCGCTGACAGAGCCTGAGCCTCCAACACCGGCACCAGCGTGGCCACCAACACCAGCGCCACCGCCAACTGAGCCACCGACACCAGCACCGCCGCCAACTGAGCCGCCAACACCAGCTCCAGTTCCAGCGTGGCCACCTACACCGGCACCGCCACCGACAGAGCCACCGACACCAGCACCACCACCGACACCGGCACCAGCTCCTCCGTGAGCACCACCGCCGACTGAGCCGCCGACGCCAGCACCACCACCGACACCGGCACCAGCTCCTCCGTGAGCACCACCGCCGACTGAGCCGCCAACGCCAGCACCAGCGTTGCCAGATGCTCCACCTCCTACGCCGGCACCAGCACCTCCGTGAGCACCGCCAGATGCTCCGCCGTTAGCGCCACCTCCGATTCCGCCCATGAGGCCACCGAGGCCACCTAGACCTCCCTTGCCAGAGCCACCGAGACCGGGAAGACCAGCACCTCCGCTGACACCGGGAAGGTTGAGGCCTCCCTTGCCAGAGCCACCGAGTCCGGGAAGACCGGCACCTCCGCTGAGGCCGGGAAGACCAGCACCTCCGCCGACACCGGGAAGGTTGAGACCTCCCTTGCCAGAGCCACCGAGTCCGGGAAGACCGGCACCTCCGCTGAGACCGGGAAGTCCTCCCTTGGCACCGCCTGAACCGCTGAGGCCGGGGATGTCGAGGCCGCCGGAGAGACCAGGGAGCTTGCCAGAGCCGGCACCCGTGAGGCCACCGAGCATGCCGCCAAGACCTCCCTTTCCTCCTGCAGAGCCACCGAGACCGGGGAGACCGGCACCTCCGCCGAGACCAGGAAGGTTGAGGCCTCCCTTGCCAGAGCTGGGGGTCTTGTCGCCAGAAGAGCCAGAAGAGCCAGAGCCAGAGCCGTAGCTGGGGCCTGAGCTAGCGCCACCAGATCCGTAGCTAGGACCAGAGACACCGGTAGAGAGAGGAGCACTTGGCTGAGTGTAAGATCCAGTGCCGTAGTTGGGGCGAGGAAGAGCGCTGGCGATGCTGGCCAAAGCGAGAACCTGAGCAGCGTAGAACTTCATGTTGACGATTATTTGTTGGTTCGAGATTGATTAAGTAAGTTGAAAGTTGGTATCGGATGGATACGATATGTGATCGATATGGATAGTAAAGAAGGTAAGTGCTCTGCACAAACGAAAGACTTGAGACTGAAAAGTCGAGTAGAGTAGTAGCGAAAGTAAGTGTTTTTGGTTGCTGAAAGCGAGAGTGTTGAAGTAGACGAGATCGAAGCTGATGCCTTTTACTTTTTGCGCTGGGAACTGGTTCTCTTATACTCAAGAACCTCGATTTGCATTCTACGTCTTCGTAGTTAGCAAGCATCGATAGTCAGTGACTGGCCCCTGAGCACCATTGTGGCGAGGCTCATAGTAGCTTCGTTTCGAAACATGGCGACTCTATTGAAAGACGTGATGTGATGAAAGGGTTGTCTAGACTGTCTCGTTTCACGCTATCCTCTGCGGGATCGACGACAAGTGTACGGGAGATGCCTGGAATGCGCAGGGTAGGTTGAGGTTAAGCAGGTTAAGGTTACGGGAGATGGCCCGATGTGCGCAGGGGAGGAAACTTAGCCTTCTTTCTCCGCACCGTGCGGCTTTACAGCCTTGCTGCCTTGAAACTAAAGTGGAGTGAGCTTTGGTAGTTCGAGGGGAAAATAGTAGCGTTAGCGTGTCCTTTATTCGTGCCATATCTGAGTCGCGCGCAAGCAGGAGTTTGCCAGGTCGGCTATTTTGACTTCCATTTGAGTCGGATGGCGGAAACCGCCGTTCCGAGGTTGTTTAGCGGGAGCTGCTAAGCTTGTTTCAGCCACCACACTTGACGTTTATCGTTCTACCCTCTCTTACTTGACCGTAAATCGAGCATCATGACAACAGACAGGTATGATGTCCAAAACATTACACATAGTCGCCCATATTCCTTTCTCCATAGATGCAGCGACCACCGGGTAAAAGACTACTGGCCTGTGCGACATAGAGTTTGACGCGGCATCTGAGCTCCTGGCCGAGGTCTTTGGCCTAGGACTCCCCGACTATTCAAGCTTTAATTGCGCAAGAGCCTTTCCCTTACCAGCCCCACGGGTAGCATTTACATCGCTGTTTCTAGTATACCCCTTTGGGGTTCGGAGACCTTGCGGACCGTCAGGCATATCGGAATAGGTTTCTGCTATGGTGGTCGATCATGGAGATCTACTAGTATACCAAGGTACAGTGATGCTTGAGGGTTTTGCTAATGACACCACGAGGTTCTAGAATGATGTCGGTGGTACAAGACGGGTACTGATGACGGAGACTGTGACGAGATGTGCTCGACAGTCTATCGAATACGGCATGTTCCTTCTCCTGCCATCTTGCACTTGCGTCGCAGGATTCTCGTATACTCGGCACGCCTTGACTCGCAACTCCGCTGCCGCAACAAGGAATACCGTTCCCTGTGTTCAAGCGGTGCCAAGCGGCCCCACAGAGACACCGGCCCTTCGCTGTCGCAAATCGAGCTAACAATGCCAGCTCGCCTGACAGCTTGGAGCCGCGCTTGCCACTTTTCAGCACTCGTCGAGAAGAAGACAATTACTCATGATTTTTTGGCGACTGCGTTCGTTGTGCAAATGTTGACTCACAATACTGTTACCATTCACCGCCAGTGCTCGCTATGCACATTCAGAGATAAGACCATGACTATTGCAGCATCCAGCACAACTGGATATTAATCACAAAATCGATAGAAACGGTTTAACGGGGATATCTTGATAGACTAGGGTGAAAGTGGTACGTCCAGCCTTGCACACTAGCATCCTTCAGGATATGTCACACGAAGATCTCAACCGGATGCCGCACTAATCCGAATACACACCAATACTCTGAACATCGCTGTGGTCAGTGTCTCAGGATCGCAGGAATTTGACTATCGAAAATGTATAGACGTAATTTCCAGTGTGTGTTGCCAAAGTTCAAGATCATCTTAAGGGTATCGAAACATCCACTCTATCAACCCCATCGCAGTCCGAAAAAGGAATAATCTTACCAAATTCTTTCTACACAATATTCTTTATTCCTTAAGGGGTTCAAGGGTTCAAGGGTTCAAGAGTTCAAGGGTCCAGGGGCCTAGAGCGCTGCATCGTGCCTAGTTTCGAGTTGTGGATCTGCTGTCCTGGCCTTCCTCTGCTAAATGCTGTCGACGACGGCCTTGTTCGCACAAAAAGGGGTGGTTGCAGCTGCTTAGGCACTTGATTTTGCAACGATGAGATTTTTGGATGGACGTGGCAGAGTCAGCTAGGCTGTGCATCAAGGGAATTGCGCTTTCAGTTCAGGAATGTCATCTTCTTCGCCCAAGATTGCGTCTGCTTCTTGCGCGTATTGCCCAAGAGACCGAGGTCGTAGAGAAGTCATATATTCTCCTCATAGATTAATGGCTCGAAGTTTTTGCATCTATCTAGGGGCTTGTGGTTGTAAGCATCGCTATTTTGAAATCAAGGAATTGCCAATCGTGAGGTTTTATTCAAGAAGCGCATCAACATAGACGGGGTTGGAAAGACAACCATGATCTGTCACCAAGGTTGTTCACGGCTAGATGATCTCTGGCAAGGACTCCTACAGATATCGGGGCATAGCAGAAGTATGACTATCATTTATTAAGCCGCACCGCCTTGTCAATACAAAAGAACTGTGAAAAGACGAGACATTCAGCTTTCTTAACACAAGATGACTTTATTTTCTGCGCATCATTGTTGTGAGTTAACGTGACTTGATTTATGGCTGTGATATCTCTAGTCCATGGAAAGGGACTATATATTGACAAATATTACAGCATACGATCCATCAAGTAGTACTTAAATGCTCGTGAACCTAGATTACCAATGGAGTCATTAAACAAGAATATAAGTTATCGCAAACAACATTTTGAAGGCTTCATAATGTTCAGAAGTATATTTGAGCGGAAAGGTTGTGTCCGTCATTTACTTAGAGTGTTCTTGTTCAACGTTACTGGCTTTTGATTTGCGGCGAATCATCATTCAGACCTCATGGTCTTGTATGCAATACATTTCCAGACTACTCCTATACTAGCGGGTCAAGCTTCATTGCAGCATGCCCAGTATGGCCTCCCATGCCCTCAACTGTATCTTTCCACTCTTCGCCTTCTCGTCCAACTGTCGTTCGTCATAGTTGCCAGCAACCCATTTCTTCACCTTGAGATCTCCCATCTTCTCCCATGTTACTTGCTCGCCGCTGAGATTTAGCAAGGTGATAAAAGCGTTCTTCTCACTCCAACGCCGAAATGCAACGATCTTCTGGTCTTCCATGTCAAGCATTTCAAAGTCACCATACACGAAAACATCTTTGTTTTCTTTGCGACACTGCAGACCACGCTTCCAGAATTCAAGCACAGACAACATGCCGGGCGAAGGCTCAGGGTTTTCTAACTGAGCTGCTGCGTTGACCTTGGGATAGTCGTCGTTGACACGCATCCAGGGCTTTCCGCTAGTAAAACCAGCTTGGGCAGACGAATCCCACTGCATCGGCGTCCTGGCACTGTCGCGAGCTTTTCGTTGCATGATCTCAGCTGCCAAGGCCTGCTTTTCAGCATCGCCAGGATACATGTCACGATATCTACAGGTGTTAGCGGAACGTCCAGATGGTGGGTAGGGGACTTACTTTTTGAAGAAGTTGATACTTTCGATATCTTTGTATTCTTCTGGCTTCCAGTCTTTAGGCACGTTGCGCATGCCAATCTCTTCACCTTGGTAGACATACAGCGTCCCTGCCAAAGTGGTTTGCATCAAGCATAACAACTTGGCGCCGTATTCGCGCCACTGATCACTGTCGTCAGTGTACCTGCTTACGCTTCGAGGCTGATCATGATTCTCGACGTAGAGCGAATTCCATCCATCGCGTTCGAGCATCAAACGCTGCAGTCTATTCACAATCTTCTTGAGGTCGCGCGCATCCCAGGGATGCAGAGTATATTTGAAATCGCCTGGGATATTATCAATATCCACCAAGTCAAACGCAAAGATCATGTTCAGCTCTTCGTTTTCGGCTCCCACGACTTGAATGACTTCGTCTTCATCTCGAACAAATGGCATTTCTCCAACGGTGAGCGTGTCGTATTTCGAAAGTACTTCGCGTCGAAGCTCCTTCAGCCACTCATGAAGTCTAGGACCGTTTGCGTAGTACTTAGCACCCGGTTGGTACTTGTTGTCTTTGACCGAAATTTCCGCATCGGGGAATGTCTGCACCTTTGAGATCAAGTTGATGACATCCATACGGAAACCAGATGCGCCTCGGTCAAGCCAGAAGCGAAGGATGTTGTGAACAGCTGCACGAACATCAGGATTTTCCCAGTTAAGATCTGGTTGCTCGGGCGTGAAGAGCGATAAATAGTACTCCTGAGTGGTTTCATCCCACGTCCACGCTGAATTGGCCTCTCCTAGAATCTGCGCCCAGTTGTTCGGAGGTTGACGGTTGCCATCAGCATCGTATTTGGCGGGTTTCCAGATGTACCAATCACGTTTCGACGATGCCTTGGACGATCGCGAGTCCAGAAACCAAGCATGCTCCTCTGAGGTATGATTGACAACAAGGTCCATAACCAGTTTCATATCACGCTTCTTGATTTCTTTGATAAGGTTGTCAACATCAGCCAAGGTGCCATAACTGGGGTCGATGTCCTCGTAGTCTGCGATATCATATCCCATATCAGCTATAGAGAGGTCAGTACATATGTTGCATGGATCTATTGCTTCCGAGGCTTACCTTGTGGACTCTTATAGATTGGCGATACCCATATCACATCGACGCCGAGGTCCTTCAAGTAGTCCAATTTTTGCGTGATGCCAGGAACGTCGCCCCAACCGTCACCGTTACTGTCCAGGAATGAGGCGGGGTAGATCTGACGCTTTTGTTAATACTGAGAAAGCATGTAGAGTCGAGTCGATATACCTGATATACCACCGCCTCCTTCCACCACCGGTGCTTGTCGGTTCCGACATACAGATCTAATTTTTGCGTTACGGGCGACATCTCAAAACTACCTTCGTCACAGGATGCGTTGTGTTGTGAAATGCTGTTGTGATTAGCATTGAGACGTGCTGTTCAAATTGGTTCACGTCATAGCCGCGGGTTAACCAGTCGCGGCGGCTCCATGAGGTAGTGCATCTCAACGCGTGGGTACGTGGGGCCCCGGGAAACCTTGCAGTGACCACTGTTCCGACATCCGGCCACTCAGCAGCAGACTCAACCTTTTCCTGCCATCGGGTATTTTGACCCATCTCATGGTGTGCTTCGAGCAGCAACGTGCATCACACACGAGTTTTATTCGTTCGATATGGTGAACACTGTGAAGATCGCGCGGGCTGGCAAGGCTCACGCGCCGACGTGCGTCATTAAGCGGCTGCACCGCTAGGCACGCGACCTTTTACCGTCCACAGAAACCGGATGATTGCTACCGCGCAACATGTACCTACAACCACACTCCCATCGTACTTCTGGGCTCTAAAATCTTCGAAGAATTCCTCCACAGTCCGGTCCGACAGCAATTAGCGACAGAATTACTGCGTCGTACAGACTTCAAGAAACTATGACGTACGACAACGATGCCGAAGATAGAGGCACGTCCGGTTCGCGAACACCGCTCCTGGGAAGTTCATCGCACCAGAGAATAGGACAAGAGAGTGAAGGTCGCAGATGGACGCTGATGACGGTGTTACAATTCTTCGGTGGGGGTATCTACGCTCCTGACCCGACCACGTACGACCCCTTGGAAATCCTTCTGAATACTGAAGATGAAGACGAGCGAGATGACCTTACTATACGATGGAGAGACAACAAATTGAGTGAGCTCAACTTTGTTGGTGTTGTGGTAAGTCACTGAGGGGTTCTCGTATATGATTACACCACCGCAATCAGGCTCTCCAGATGTCGCCCGCTTCTTGTCGAACGTCTATGATTGAGATGGGCACGGTCTCACATCCCTCTCTTCTATTGGTAGCCTTTGGTGCTTTGTCCAACGTTCTGTATGCTGACATTATGCAGTCTGCTCTTTTAGCAGGCGTTCTTACCTCTACAGGGAGCTGGCCTAATATCCTACCAAACGGAAAAGAGTCACCATGGTCTGTGCGCACTTCGTGGTATTGTGGTATTATACTATCGCTTTTCAGTATTCTTACAGCTGCCGATCAAACCGTACGATTGCACCGCCTTTCGTCACATCGGGATGGACTGAGCAACATACGCAAGTTACTTTCCAAGACCAATGGCGAGAGGAAACACTCATCAAAGACTGGCCGTCGGACGCCTAGCTTGCTCCAAATCGTCACATGGCAAATGCCAGTGATGTTTCTAACATCGGCTACCCTCTGCATGATCGTTGGGATGTTTCTTCACGTCTGGTCTGCAACCACGCACTTGAAGCATCCGACCATGTGGGACGATAACACCAAGGTATGTTCCCATAGCGGCTGTCTTGTAAAATACTCTAATTCGCCCCCAAAGGTTGCGGTCACGTATAGCACAGTCGCTATCGTTGCAGTCGCATTGTTTTTCGTCGGCCAGGTCTCACTATACTCGCCGCTCCGACGATAACGGCAAGTACAATAGTGGATATGCTAAAAATTCTGGGAACATGTTGGGCGACTCTCTTCTGCTCGGATTGGAAAGTCTGCGTGTCGCCTTCGCCCATGACCATTTTGATCTCGAACAGATATCGATCATATTTGGCTCATTCTCAAGAACTGTTCTCATGCTCGTTTGTTCATCATCCAGCGTCTTCTCGACTGTTCCGCTTGCGATGCCTTACAATTTTCTGTTTGCTTGTTTCCAGTGCGCAGTCTGCCTGGCCTGACTACGCAATTCATAGAAAGCTATAAGACAGTGAAAGCGCATTGACTAAAGCTTTCCCATTTAGCTAATCACTTTCATTAGAAAATCCTACCATGTGACGCTTATATTCGCATGTAGCGCGACGTAGCAAGCCGCGCTCCTTTCTTACAGACTTTCCCTTTCTCTTATCAAAGCCCGTTTATATACATTCTCTGACTTGTATCAGTGCGCTAATTAGCTCCTCCCTTTATCTTATAAGTTCTTCCGGTATTCGACTATATTTCAGATTCCATTGAACATTCCCAACACGACCATCGATAGCAACTCACGCTTTGCGATAACCCCTTCCTACGTACTACCATAGACATCTTACCCTCACTCAGCGAATCATGACGACTGTATCGGTAGCTGGTTCGTACGAGCAGTACAAACTCGACACTAGCCGCTTCATCTTCTGGCTTGTCGTCACTGCGCGCGACAACGGGTACAAGATTGATGACCCAGCTATACCTCAGAATGGAACTCAACAGCAGCCTTCGAAACGACTGAAAGGTAAAGAGAGGAAGCAAGCCAAGGAAACGGCTGCCAGCAAAGCTGCCTCGTCAACTGCATCCTTGACCACTTCGAAGGGCAAGTACTCCATTTCGACGGAGACGATCCTCAAAATGGCGAGACACATCGCGGCGAAGAAGATGTCCTCGACAATGCCTAAGTTTGTTTGGTATTCCTACAAGCGGGCTGTGAGAACACGCCAGGCATACGCAGAACGCTATGCCCAGGAGGAATTGTCGGAGAGGACTTCGGACAGTGGGCATATCTACTTTCTGTGGTTGTTGAGACACTGCCACGAGATACTCGAGAAGAAGGTTAAAGTGCAATCAGTTGCCAAACCTGTTACAGCCAAATCCGCCGACCTTCGATATAGCATCACGACTACGCCCATGTCAGCGGTGACTCCCAATCCGACGCCCGGATCTACGTTAGAGGTTGATAACGCCAATCTAGATGTCGTAGCCGACGAGAATGCGGCTGCTGAGGCAGAACAGGAGGCTGTGGGCAACAAGCTGGACGAGCTTGCTCGCAAGTTCGAGCTTAATGTGGAGACGGAGAGTAAAGAAGATATAGACACAAAGCGCAATTTAGAGTCGAAAACTAGGACTAAAGAAGAGTTGGCTTTGAGAAAATCTTGTCTGGTGGATGATATGCGCAAGGCCGTGATCCAGCTGGAGCATGACTGGGAGGATACATACAAGGATACTGGCGCTGATTGCTATCTAGACGAAATCCGAGCTACGCTCATGACAGAAGCCACATTCGACCTTGTACGTCACAAGGAGGAGGTTTTGGTCAAAGAGGCTGACGAGAAGGGTTTAACGGCGTTCGACCCCTCTCTCAAAACAGACGAGTTTTTCGGCAAGACCGCGAGGTCGCTCGAAAGGATCGAATCGGAACGGAGAAAATCCACCCCAGGTTACTTGTTTCTAGCAGCATGCCTGAGTGACCAGGATATTTCCACACAGCGGTATTCTGACGATCATGAGTTCCTCGTCCATTATCTACATGAATCAGGATTAGAACATGTAAGCCCTTCTGATCTTGCATTAGTACTCACTTCTCTACTAGAAACTAATTGGATGTTAGAAAGTCAGAAAGCGACACGAAAAGGGCTTCAATATGCCAATATTAGATGGGGCATTCGATGCGCTTTCCCGAATCTACGGCTCCCTAGGTACTTGGGAACATGTTTCGATGAACACTACCTTCGCCGCTGAAGTGGTCATACGGATCCGATCGAACGATAAAGCCCATTTATTGAAGCATTATATGCCAATGCAAATTAGGGCAGCGGAAGAGGAAAAACAGTTCGCATCCTGGCACAATCAAAATATCAAATTCGATAGGAACAGCTGGCAAGTCACAGAATCAGCACGTACACATCGATCCTTCATCATAGGTCGACCGTTCTCTCCCATGCGATACGCCGAGATGCGACTGTTGAAGTCTACGCACCCGCTCTACGGCTTACAGTACGACTATCCGAAGCCAGCTTTCACAAATAAAGAAGCTCGGAATGAGCTCATGGAACGTCTCGAGAACCAAGGCATCGAGGATAACGCTGGAAACTCGGTTATGCGCCAAGCTTTTGCAGCTCACTATATACTTCCACCGAAAGATGGCGATTTCCTGCGGAACACGATTCCGACACTAAGAGCAAAGCTTTCCTTGACCCAGCTTCTATTGCGCGAAGAAATGGGACTTGGTTTCGCGAACGCTAGTCCGCAAATATTTGCCCTTTGTCACTTGTACAATTGCTTTCTTAAGCGGGGCTTGATCACCGGCACTTGGCCAAAGATCGAGCAGATGATGGAGTGGCATCTGGAAGAAATCTTTCTCAATGAAGTGCCCACCAGGCCTAACGAGTTTTACTCGCGATTACTTCTTGCGACAGGCTACTCTTCCAAGGTGATAAAGAAAGTTCGAAACCTGAAAGAGAACCCTGACCGATACATCGATTTCGGGAAACCCACCAACAAGACGAGCGAATTGAAACCACTTCCAATGACAAGGATACTCCGTGACTATGTCCATGAGAGGGAGAAGGGAGTGCAGATCTGGCATCGTATGAACAAGGAGATGATCAAGAACTCCGGAAACTCTTTGCTGAAGCAAGATACTAGCAACCTGGACATCTTGTCGTTCATAAAGGAGATGCGTAACTCTGGACAACTCCTTCAAGTTCTTCCCCGCCTAGAATTTGACTACATCAGCCTAACGCTGCAGTGCAACGAGCTTTGTCACAAGATCGATGTTGGACAAGAGAAGGTTTTTGGAAATAGGACAGCACAGGACGAGGCTCATTGGAAGTCCCCTACTCAGCATGGTTTCTCAATTGTTTCAACGCTTCTCGGAGATCTCGACCGCATATTTCTTCTGAAAGAAAATGGACGCAAGCAAGATAAGGGCATCGCGGATACGACGCCCGTCGTCGACGTAGCGGTTCGGGTCATGCAAGAATTAATTGATGGACTGAATGACTAAAGCATTCAGCTGCCCATTGCAAAAAGAGTGTAAGACTGCGAGAAGCACTGCATTGGTCGCTAGCACCGCAGTACACATTGAACCACAAATAGTCGGAATGTTAATTGTCTCAGCGATTGATTTTTGATGGACCATTGTCAAATATGTCCGATGAGGTTGTGATCGAATAACCCGCAATACCATAATGAAGGGCCGTATCGACTCCCATGCCTGAATCATGGTCGTGACCACACTCTGAACTGATTCACTACAGCGCAACCAGTCCGGCTCCCCGCCTTTGCAACAATAAACTCATATTAGTTGTTATGCAAGCCTCACTATGCATCTGCTGCCTCATTGAGATTCCGATATTCACGTCAGCCAATGACATCGAGACACACGAGCTGCGGCTGAACAGAAGCTCGGGATCACAACATCACAAATGGATCATCGTATCTGCACTCCACTTTCCTCGTGTTCGTGATCACCCGCGCTGCTTTGCTGCTTTTACTCATCGCGGGGAGCCAGGATCTTCGAAAGAAGCTTAAAATGGCGCTCATGTCACATACGGTAGTATCCGTTGACAACCAAACCCTGGAGTTTCTGCGAAATGGGGCTCCTTACATTGTTTTCCGCATGGTATCTCGTGTTTGGTGTTATAACTGCATATGAATATCCAAGCAATCCATGTGCAGACTTAGCCTTGATACTTCCAAACAGCACCTTCTTCCCCACAACGCCGACGTACAATGCATCCATCCACTCCTACCCATTCCTTCAACTTCGGCTACATCCATCCTGCATCATTCGTCCAAGCTCCGCAAAGGATGTATCTACTGCCATCACCACTCTGCTGCAGAATAATAACACCAAGTTTGCGATTAGGAGTGGTGGTCACAATGCAAACGCCGGCTTCAACAACATCGACGGCGGTGTGACAATCGATATGCAAAGCATGAACAAGGTAGAAGTTGCGAGAGGAGATCAGGTTGTGGCGGTCGAGGCTGGAGCGCTGTGGCAGAATGTATACGACAAGGCCGAGAAGCGTAACCTAACGGTACTAGGTGGCCGCATCGGCGTCGTAGGAACCGCTGGCTTCTTGACGGGAGGTAAATGCACCCTTCTTCTAGTGGTCCAGTTGAGACAGAAGACTGACCAACATCGTCCAGGTGGAATTTCCTTCTTCAGCCCGGAGCGTGGTTGGGCGTGTGACGGCGTCATCAACTTTGAAGTCGTACTTGCAAGCGGGAATATCATCAACGCGAATGCGACATCGCACTCTGATCTCTTCGTCGCACTCAAAGGAGGGCAGAGCAACTTCGGAGTTGTCACGCGCTTCGACTTGAAAGCCTTCTCCGCCGGTCCTATCTACGGCGGAAGGATTGTTTTCGGAGCCAATGCTACCACGCCTCTACTTTCGGCATACACGGAGCTTAAACTAGGGGAGTATGATCCGTACGCAGCGGGCTGGGTCACAGTGCGATATAACCACACGGCAGCGACATTTACTCCGGTCAGCATCATGTGGGACACGCGGCCAGCAAAACTTAGCACGTTGAGAAGTATCGTCGAAGTGAAGCCGCAGGTCATGAATGGCATGATCGAAGCGCCCATCAGTGAGCATACCAGGAATGCATCCAGACAAGTGGCCGCGAATCCTCAAAGGACAGTTTGGGCAACGACATCATTTTCAATCTCCTCGACGATCATACATCGCATCCACAGCCTCTGGAAAGACGTCGTACCTGGAATCGCAGCACAGTATGCCTATGCCAAGCCAATTGCAGAAATAACCTTCCAAGCTCTTCCCGCACCACCTCGCAATGGCACAGCACCGAACAGCCTAGGTTTTGGACCAGACGAGGCACCAGAGAAAGACCTCGTATTCTTGCAGATAATCTTCACGTTTGAAGATGCTGCCGCTACCGATGGGTTCGAAGAGGCTTTGAAGGATTTGGTAAGGCTGATCGAAGGCTTAACGAAGGAGGAGGGTGTGTTCCATCCATACAAATATCTCAACTTTGCGGCATCCTTTCAGGATCCGTTGGCAAGCTATGGCGGTATCGAATTGAGGAGAATGAAGAAAGTGGCAAGGAAGTATGATCCGACAGGCGTGTTTCAGACGCAGGTACCTGGAGGGTTCAAGCTGTTTTAATCGCGTACGTCGCGTTCTTCTTTTGGGTTACTACCACGAGAAATTGGGGTGGTTGGAGGAATTGGTGCGTGCGTTGCTACCCCTTTCGCAACTGAGATAGCGACTTCATTGTAGTGCAGGGGCTATCCCATCTTGAGCATGACCCTTTCTCGCATCCCAACTACTCAACGCATCATTGGGCTGAATTCAATGCAATGATTCAACACGAAAGTCTATTGGTGTCTTTCCAGAACAAATGCAGGAGCAAAGCGGTCAACCACGACCGCACTAGGGAGCACACTACATCGTGCCCTTCAATAATAGTGTGGTGAACATTGCGAACCATTACAATGCCTCATTCTCTAGTAGGGCTATCTACCGATACATCGCAATCGGATTTTATTCATTTCATGGTCCGTTTAGGCCGTTACTTTCACGATATGCGTGACGGTGAAGTGCCCATGGAAGTGCGACACTCATCACATCCTCACGGTTGCATTCACTCTTTGGCAATGGTTTAGAAACCTTCCTCAGGTCCATCGTTGTAATATGACTAAGCCCACTACACTAATCTTCAACATACTATCACAGGTCTACAGAGACTGCCAACGCAAGCGACTGTATCAGGCTTTGTATGACTTCCCATCGTCATTTTTCCAGATCAGCAACAAGTTGATTTCTCGAGACACAATCAAAACATCGGCAACTAAGTGACACTTTTTGCACGATATACGGATATACCGGCGACTCTTCATCGACTGATCACTACCTGAACATCTGAAACGAACTCACGGCGGCTCACATACATCGACTTGCGACTTCCTATCACACCGCATACCAGTTATTCCACCATGCATCCTGGGCTCGTTACTGTCATGGTACTTGCAGCGACATTAGAGATTTGGCTGGTCTTTGCACTCATCTATGCCGCACTACAAAGACACGATGGACGTAACTATTGTGGAAGGACTAAGGACGCTTTGCGACTCCGATTGTAGTCGGCAAAACGAAAGAAAGTCGACGTATGCGCTTGAAAGCATGAAGCTTCGAGGTTAACGATGTACCGCTTGGCCTGAGGCGGAGTTCTTGTGACTAGGAAATACGCCGCACGGCCTGAGCCTGTACTAAAAGCGCAGTAGTTTTATGTTCTCGGTATAATCTATAACTCTAGCTCGTTAATCATTTGTTCTCCTGTTAACCCCGCGAGCAAGTTCTTGACACTTTCAGTAGCCATCTGTTCCCTCGTCTCAATCGTTGCGCTCCCAATATGCGGCACAAGTACAGCTCGCGGCTGCTTCAGGATCGGGTGATCAGCTTTGATGTTCGGTTCATTCTCAATAACATCCAGACCGGCACCGAATATCTGCTCCTGATCTAGCGCTTTTACCAAGGCGTCGGTGTTGATGATGGGGCCTCGTGCGATGTTGACGATGACAGCTAGCTTCTTCATCTTCGCAAAGAAGTCTGTGCTTACGAGGTGTTTCGTGTCTGGTGTGAGCGCACATCCGACAACGACTACGTCGCTCTCTTTTGCGAGTTGGTCTATGCTGCCCGCTGGCTCAATGGGGACAGTAGCATTCCGGATAAGGTCAAAGTGGTCTTCCTTCACAGGTTTTCCAGGTTTGGACGTAAGATAGATAACTTTTTTGATGCTGAATGGAAGTAGTCTTTGCAGCGAAGCTTGCGCAATCCGACCAAAGCCCAAGAAACCAATTGTCGATCCACGGATTTGTGGACCAGTCATGAGCAGAGGATGCCACGGCATTTGGGGCCACTCACCCTTTGCGACCTTTGTCATGGATTCTCCAACTCTTCTCTGGGCCATGAGGATGAGCATGACCGTGAGGTCTGCCACGGCATCGGTGAGACATGTTGGTGTGTAGCCGAGGCGTACATTGCGCTCCTTGAGCGCGTTTCGGTCAACATGATCAGTACCGACCGAAAACGAAGCGATGGCCTTGAGTTGAGATCCAGCAGCTTCCAAAAGCTCTTCGTCGACTTTGTCTGTGAGCATAACTAGGATGCCACTTGCACCTTTGGCGTTCTCAAGCAACCAGGAGCGTGGGCATGGCTGCATACATCTTGTGAGCAAAGCAAGTCTCTGTGGCCAGTAATGAAACACACCTTTTCGGATTGCCATTGGACAACTTCCAGGTCCTCCTTCTCCGCATCGAGTATTCTTTGTGCTTCGTCGATTAATTGACGCGTTACAACAACTTTTGTCTTCGCCATGTTGGTGTTGGTGCGTGCAGCTGAAGGTTCGCCGCAGTCTGCGGGACGCGGGGTTGGCGGGGTAGAGCTTGACTTGGTCTCAATAACACCGTCACGAGGGGTATGCGAAAGATGCAACGAGACTTGCGATAGCCTTTGCATTGAAGCCAACTCGGTGCCAAAGTGTTACCTTCTGGAGACACCCGTTCTCATAAGCTCGCTGCCGGACGCCTTTGGCCCGAATCATCCGCCAATAAGCGCTGAGGAAGAAAAGGCGACTGCTCCACTTGGACAGTCTCTCTGCACTTCTTTACCGTCATCTACTAGAAGATCACAACTTGTCCAGTCGTTATCGTGAATCTCAAGCTTTGAAAACCGCATGCTTGGGCAGTCAATACCTGGCCACCGTTGTACAGTAGACAAGTCGGGAAGTAACATATCCCCTAAAGTAGTATGTACAGCCGACAAGCGCCCCACTTTTACGATATCACGTCCTCTCCGCCCATCTCTATCAACTTCATATATCTAGCTCCGAGGGTTCTTGCGTATCTCAGAAAGGACTCTTGATCATCGTATTCTCCAACTTATCTTTATTTATCTTCAGTCAAAAGCAATCATGGAAGAACGAGCACGCATCCCCGTTGCGCCGCCTATCACGACACCATTGCCTTCATACTGGCACAATCCAAAGTCGCCTTTTGCAAATGTCATCGAACCTGAGGTGGATGAGGGTGCACAGGCCTACGATTATGCCATTATCGGGTCTGGCATCTCCGGCACGGCAATCGCCTATAACATTCTGAACGCTTTGCCTAATGCGCGGGTGGTGATGTTGGAGGCACGTGAGATATGCTCAGGTGCGACGGGTCGCAATGGTGGGCACACGAAGGCGGCAAGTTATCGCAGCTACACGCATCATGCCCAAGAGCTTGGCAAAGCAGAGGCACTGAAGATCGCGAGATTGGAGTATGCTAACATTGTTGAGACGCATAGCATAGCAAAGGACCTGGGCTTGAAGTGCGAGAGTACGTTGTGCAATACGGTCGATCTCATCTACGACAAACCAACTTTCGAGGCGGGAAAGTTCGCTATTCAGATGCTGCGAGCTGACGCAGACGAGCATGAGAAGGAAGTGGGAAAGATGGCATGGTACCAAATACACGAGGAGGTTGCGGATATCCAGAATAAGTTCTCCGTTGCAGCAAGGAACAGCAATCCCACTGTCTCGTCAGAAGAGCAGCTTCAAGGCGCCTTTGAGTACCTAGCTGGACGAATACACGCATACCAGTTTACAACCGGGTTATTAAAAGAGTGCTTTGAGAAAGGACTGCACTTGTGCACAAATACGCCAGTGCATGATATCCGCCCGTCGGTAAAATCAAACAGCGAGACTGGTCCCCATTGGGATGTTTTCAGCCAGCACAACACTGTCACAACAGGAAATGTCATTATCGCAACCAACGGCTACACACCCTATATTATGAAAGAGCTCCAAGGCGCTATCGTACCAATGCGCGGACAAATCACCGCACAACGACCAGGAACGGCAACAAAGCTTCCATGTCCGCTACCGACGACGTACTCGTTCATCTATCGTGACGGCTATGAGTACATGATTCCGCGGCCGTTACCGAATGGTGGGCAGCACATAGTTATTGGCGGTGGCTTAGGTCGTCTTCCAGCAGCCGGCCCAAGCGAGTACGGGACAGTTGACGATGGTAACTTGAACCCAGAGATCTCCAAATATCTCCACGAGAGCTTGACTGGATATTTTAGCGCTGAGAATTGGGGTGAAGCGTCTAAAGAAGAAGAAGCGCGCCGTGTGGTACAGGAGTGGACAGGCATAATAGGTGCTACAGCCGATGGACGACCATTTGTAGGCGAGGTGCCGGGCAAGAAGGGTATGTGGATATCTGCAGGCTTCAACGGTCATGGGATGGTGCTGTGTCTCAAGTCGGCGGAGGCGCTGGTGAAGATGATGGGAACTGGCCACAAGAGTAGAGCACCGGATTGGTTTCCTGAAAGCTTTTTGCTCACACAAGATCGGCTGGTGAAGTGCAGGTTCCAAGGTCGCACCGATATGCAGGTACCCAAATGAGGGGCTACCGGCCTAGACATAGCATTGATGAGTATGATTGTTGAAAAGCAGCTGAAACAGGCGTGTCAATTGTGTTCACGTGAGTGCAGCGTCGTACAGAGGATTGCGAATACCATGACGAAGGTCTTGTGGACGGCCCAATAGACATAGGGCGACTGTCGTGGCAGAGCTGGGATGGAGGTGAATGCTATAGACAGTTGGGGTCTTGGGCGACTTGGTTGATGTAGCCCCACTTGGCGCGAAACGTCATCAGTGGCGGCGGAACATTCCAAGCCACGGTCACTGCGCGGCTATCACGAGCCCAGAGCTTCAACAGGCGCAACTTGCCCCGTACAGACACCAACACACTCGACATAGACGCAACAGACGGAGCACTACAGCCAACATGTCTGAGAAAACCAGCACTGACAAGGCAAGCCAAATAGCAAGTATAAGGGAGCTCCCCCACTAACAATCGACAGCCCCCCGAGAGCCCAACGACGGCGCGTGAGCTCGACTTTGACGACGACAACGACACTTCAGCTGTCTCGGCGCAGGAGAACACCAAATCGCCGTCGCCAGGCTCCAAGTCGCCCAAGCCCGGCGTGCGCTTCAACGAAGAGGCCACCGAGATCCCTCCCCAGAAGCCACCGCGACCAGTGGACCCCCAAGTGCAGGCGCAGAACACGCTGATTGAGGCTTTCCCCAGCGTCGATGCCAATGTTGTCAAGGC